TTCGTAGAAATAATTACATGGAATAAAGACAAGCCATTTCATGCTATTTTTTAATAGTTGAAACGTAGTGAAAGTACAAGACAGACTCCAGCAAAAATGCAAAAGTTTTACTGGCCAAGACAGTGGCGTAGCCAGGAATTGTTCGGGGGGGGGGGGGGCTGGAACATTTCATGGGGGGCGTCATGTAGATCAATGACAATTATAATTTCGTATTCGAAACATTTTGGCTACAATTACGAGTAAAATTAAACTTCAGGATATTCTTTTGCCTCGTTTTCAGATGAAGCAGCTGCGTGACAAAAATCCCTGGGTCTACTAGGCTAGTTATTCACAAATATGGAGCAAGACTCTGCGACTATTATTTAAAATTGTAATTATCAGTTTGCATTCCAACGCGCGTAGTTGTAAAGACGTCATAGATATTCAATGCAAGAAGTAAATTTTGTGTTTAATACTTAATGGGTGCTAAGCAGATTGGTACGTTTATATTGTTATTTGTAATCAAACAAATATTTGCAATGAGGGAATTATTTAATTTCATTACTTTTCGTAAAACGTGCACAAAATAATTGTCACGAACATAAGCACAAAAAAAAATTATGGTGTATGTAATTTATGGTGTTTGTAATCAGCCGCTGTTTATCTTGAATAATTTTGCATTGCCAATGGATATTTTGTTTGAAAAATTGTACACGTGGTTGAGGATTATTTATCAAATTTATAGAGTTTAAATGTGTACGCTTTATTAACTTGTGAGCAATAATTGTTCTGATTATTAAGTTGCAATTTTATTTTGAAATATTAGTTAACAACTGTTGAATGCTGTGATGTGGGATATGACGAGGGGCGCATAGCACCCAAGGCGAAGCCGAGGGTGCTATGCGCCCCGAGGGTGTTCAAAACGTCATATCCCACATTACATCGGTCAACGGTTATTTGTTATATCCCCTGTCTTGGATTCTTTGGACTTTGAAACACGAAAACAAACAGCAGTAAAACACAACAATCACAACAATCGAACGTCAATCGCGTACCGTGCTCGAAACAGCTGATCGTCTGCTAGTTCGCTGCTCCCATTCATGTGTGAAACATGCTGAAAATAGCGTGGGTACCAACGATACTAGCGTTTCACACCGTACGTAGAGTACGTACACATTTTTTGTGTGCATAGCACGCTCCCTGTGGGATATCCCACACAGAGTGTGCCATGACTTTTTATGAACTTAACACGTGATCGTTCTAGGCCAATGAAAATACCGTATTCAAGACAGAACTAAAGACAGAGGTATAACAATTTAAAGTGTTGTAAATTATAGGTATTATGTATATGAAGCTGTCATTATATTGCTACTTGTGCTAAATACTGTTGCTGCAATGCTTCGCTTCTCTCGTTTTGCTGGGAGGGGCATATTACTTGCCACGCAGAAATGTATTTTAAGTAGGCCTATCCTCTTTTCAAGAATATTAACCACAGAGTGTTGCAATTTCTAAGCTATTTTTAGGGCTGTTGCAATTTTTTTTTACAAGTTTTTGCAAGTAAATTGGTGAACCCAAGATCTTTGACCAAATTGTACATGACTGGTTCTAATTGACAAATGATAAATATTTAGGATAAAAAGTACTCACCGTGAAAACTCCATTGACACGTGCTTCGGTTTTCAACGCACATTCAGTCAAGCATATCGGCTGCATTATTGTGGCAGAAAAGAGATATGTTCTGATGTTTCAAAAGTTTGCGAATGGTTCATGTAAAAAACTTACTGGGGCATGAGAAACCGTTTTATTCAAGCTACAGTCGAATACTGATAAGAACAGCACTGTTAATACAAGTCACGCTTATACAATGTAACAAGCAGAATTAAGGTCCCAAGTCTTTGTTTTTCTTTGTTTTCCAATACTGTTAATACAAGGTACCATTTACAACAAGGTGATTTGTAAAGTCCCAAGGACCTTGTTATAAAGGTGTTCGACTGTACATGCATGAATAAAAACTACATGCCTAATTTATTTATAGTTGTGCACAATACCTGGGAAATTCGTAGAAATAATTACATGGAATAAAGACGAGCCATTTCATGCAATATTATTGTTTAATAGTTGAAACGTAGTAAAAGTACAAGACAGACTCCAGCAAAAATGCAAACGTTTGACTGGCCGAGACAGTGGCGTAGCCAGGAATTTTTCAGTGTCATGTAGATCAATGATAATTTTTTTAGAAACTGAAAATCTCAGTGGGGGCGACTGGGGGCAACAAGGTTTCATTGGCTGTCCCCCCCCCACGCCCCCCCCCCCCCCCGTGGCAAGGCCATTGGCCCGAGACAATGTAATAAAAGGTTTACATACGGAGACATTGTAGTGTTGTATTGTTGACAAAATGTTGTCCAATAAGGTTTGAAGGTGAACTGCACGAGCAATGGGAGTTGCGATGGTGTCACCGCAGTTACTGTTTTAACATTTGAAAAAAGACGGGCCATTTCATGCAATTTTTAAAAAGTTGAACCGTAGTGAAAGTACAAGACAGACTCCAGCAAAAAGACAAGAAAGTTTAACCGGCCGAGACAATGTAATTAAAGGTCAACAAACGGAGACTGTGTGTAGGTACCATGATTGTGCTGCATATATAATATATTCCGCGGTTTTGACATACTAAACAAAAAACCATGTTTCAATAAGAATGGGCCCTGTGCACAAGTTGGCCATTTTTTTTTTCGTGTTCCTTGAATGCATTTCATAAATTGTGAACTAGCTACAGTCGGCTCCCGTTATAGCGAAAACCACGGGACCGGCCAAAATTTTCGTTGTATCCGAATTTCGTAATATCCGATCAATGTTTCCCGTCCATTGTTCACCTTGAATTGGCCCTATTGTGCACGCTTGTGAACGTATGTAATGTACCCAATGACTTTTTCTGTTTGAAAGCAATTAAGAACATGCTCTCTGTGACGTGATTTGTCAAATAAAAAATAATGTTTAAAATATTTCATTGTGTCAAGTGAAAACAAAATGTTTAATGTACGAAACGAAAATAAAATAAACATTACGAAGCGAAGATCTGACGTTTCATTGCTTGATCATCGATGAGGAAGAAGTCAATGGCGGATGACCTGGATCAATTCGATGTTCAAAGTAAGTAATCTCTCCAGCACAAATTGTGTCATGGAGAGACATTTAAATTGTATTGTCCTTTCGTCTTGCAGATTTCAATGTGACAATGTGATAAGCGTTTTCAAGCACATGGCCGGTCCGTCCGTGATCTGAGTAGATTTTACAACTTGGTAGAGCGCCCTCATGAGTCAGTGTCCTAATGAGTGATGATCTCATAATCTTACATCGTGATTGGATATTAACGTCAGACGATTTCAACGTCACGCAAGCGGACGAGCTCATTGGCGTGCACCAGTTCATTTATTCATAGCTTTGCATATGTATGCATAATGTCCAGCGTTGATGGTGATCAGTTTCTTATCGTCCCAGCAGGTTCCTTTTTTAAAAGTTACGAAATAGCTTAACGTATTTTGTGCTGGTGCTCAAATGAATAAGTTTTTTAATAAGACAATTTTGGCAAAGTTTTGATTATAATTTAAGTAAATAATTTAAGAAATTTTTTTTTTGGGGGGGGAGGGGGGAGTAATTTACGGGAGGTCGTGAATAATTTTGAATGAAATTACGTTTTGGAGAATTTTGGGATAGTCTAGGATTGTTTATTTTGTTTTGGATTTGTAATGGGGTGCTTTGTAATTTTTGTTTAACCTTACTTTTTTTTAATATCAAATCTGTGCCGAGGAGGGAGAGGGTAAATTATGTTTTATTTAATTTACAATTTTTTAATAAGGGGTTCTATTTGGGGGAGGGGGATTATTTTTATTTGCTCCGGGTAATAGGGTAGGGTTCATTATTTTTATTTGAGTCGGGATTCAAATCTCTTTTTTGAAAATGTGATGGCTCTGAAAAGAGCCGTTTGGTTTGATTTATCTGGAAGGTGATGTTACACCTTGAAGAAGTCCGTTATCTTCCGCTGTGACATCTTGTCTTGCTGCCTACTGGAGAGGTACTGCAGGATTGCAGCGGCGTGATCGTAGACATCGTCGTCCATGTCGGGCTGGCTGCAGAGATAGTCCCGAACCTGGTGCCAAAAACCTGGTGCCGACTCGATGACAAAAGACATCGTAATTACGCTGGACCAATCTGAGCTTTTGTTTCCCTTTCATTAATGCAAGCCGACAGAATTAGGTACATATTGGAAAAGCCCATTCACAAAGGTCACGTCTTGGATGAATGTCACAATGGCGATGTGCAAGTGGTGCAGGTGACTGGCACTCGTCATCGGAACACTTTGATGATGGGCCTTTGTTGTTAACCGGCAGAATTAGGTACAAATAGGGAAAGCCCATTCACAAAGGTTGAAGTACGTTTTTGATTAATGGCACAATGGCGATGTGCAAGTGGCTCGGGTGACTGGCACGCGTCTTTGCAACACTGCGATGACAGGCCTAACCGCAGCGCGAGATTAACTTGACTGTGCGCCGGCAAACCGATTAGCACCTCCATCTGAATACATCTACGTCAGCAACATGAAACTACTCACACAAGACGGACACCTGCTGATTACTAATACATCGTACTGCTTTCAAATTGAACGAAAAAAGCCGTGGGCCAGGATTACCTTTCGTAATAAATGGGTCGCTGACAATGCATTTTTACGCAACCGGGTCGCCAAAACCTTTCGCTTTAACAGGAATTTCGTACTGTCCGTTTTCGTCTTAAGCGAAATTTTCCCCATAGACATGTGCACAATTTTGCCGGGACCGAAGGTATTTGTTTGTAATAACCGGAATTTCGTTCTAGCCGTTTTCGCTATAACGGGAGCCGACTGGGATGTATATTGAATGGGATGGTGCCAGACTATATCCTCACTTCATTTTTTTTTTTTTAAATGTGGCTTAAAACATTCGAGTACGTTTTATCACAAATTTTAAATTATCCATCAGAGCAGACTGGTATTTTATTTGTAACGTCATAGCTTTTATTTCTCTACACAAGTTCCAAAAATGAAGATTTTACATCACTCTCAATCCAATATGGCCGACTTGTGAATAAGGCCCATTGAAGGTTTACACTGTTAGGTGCATGAGCAATGAGAGCCGAGCGATGGTGTCAAAGCAATTACTATTAACATTGTCAAATAACTTAAATTACGTTACACCTTAATATCGAGCGATTATCTAAAATGAAGTTAAACACATGTATCGTACAAATGGCTTATAAAGTGGGATCGATTAAAAACTGTCTTTACAATAATATTCTTCATTGTTATCAACTCCGCTTGGTTATCATAATTCACATGAGATACAAGATATGCCAGGTATACAACTTATAATGCGTAGTCTACATCACTGCCATCAAACTATAATATAAAATGATGATAAAATAATATAATGATAAAAAGTCTAATAATCACACATTAATCAATTAATTTTTATGTTACAAATATTTACAAATCAACAAAAACGTACTTTCTAATTACGTGATTTTCATTTACACTTTTGTTCCCTTTTCATTTCCAAAATAAAATCGGATTTCCTTCTGCCTTGATTTTGAGGTTGCCAAAATATTACAATATATGGCACTGGCCGATTCACCTCAATGTTTTCAATTGTCTATTCCGTATTAAAAACACGATACAATTTTGTCGATTAATTTATATACATGCTTCAAGTAGAAATTAACTTCATTTGGCCTTCGAAGAAGGAAGTTTTGTAACTAAAAGCAAGAAAATAACTGGTAGACTAAAATGTGAGAGCATGAGTATACTTCGTCAGTGAAATACTATCAACTCATCAAAATGTACTGTTTCTTTTAGAAAGCGCCCTCTATTTCTTTTACAAAGCGCCCTCTATGTTGCATGTGAAAACAGGTAGTAACTTTATTTACAAATCTAGCATAACTATTATTGGTTCAAGCTGAAGCTTACGGTCCTTATATAATTTATAGTCTACACGGCCACTGCCTAATGTTCGTTTAGTCTACTTTCAAGTCTTGATTCAGTTCCTCACGCGCCACTCTTGGTGTAATCGAGTTGCTGTCCAGTCAAATTGCGGCCAAGATACAAACTGACGACTGCTAAGACGACCGTCAAATCGATGTCTTTATGCTCCGGGTCAAGTTCCTTGGTGAAGTGCATCAAGCGATCCCAGAATTCCTCGTGATCGCTGTTCTTCAGCCGCGAGAGGGCGTATGTGAACTGCTGCCAGATGTGGTCTATGTTGAGGCCACCGACCGCTAGGAGAGGCAGGAACAAGACCATGAATTTCTCACTGAAGATGAAGATGTTGATGATGAGATTGTCTTTGGCCAGATTCTTCTGGCATTTCTCGTGCTCGCTGTCACTGTACACATTGTAGTTCCAACTGATGTGCACAGTCAAGCCCAAGACTCCCGTAGCCACAATGAACGGCATGAGGCGTACCAAGATGCGGCGGAGCAGACTCACTTCACGGTGGATCTCAACCACTCGGCGCCGACACCAGTCTACCCTTCCTTCGTTGTTCTTGACGAACACCAATACCAGGTTCAGTTCAGCTGTAAGACCTTTCCGCATAACCAGAACGTAGTGCCAAAAGGCTGCGTAGATCGGCAGACCGATTGCCGCTATGACCATGCCCAAAAATGTCTTCACGAACACAAAAACAGCGTATTCGGCGGTCTGAGGAACTACAGTTGGACAGGTCGTATTCGAGCTCATCTTCTCAGGTTTCAAATTACCAGAATTGAGAAATTGAACCAAACTGACCACTTGAAAAGCGACATTCACGACCGCCCATAATATACTCAGAGTGAGGAACATCGACGCTGGTAACCGGAACTTACGACCAGTCAAGCATCGCAGCCGACGTGCAATGTAATCAGCGTGGAGCACGTTGTACCAGCGACAACTGTTCCCTGGCGCCCGACGGACATACTGCAGGACATTGGAAGCCGTGCACACCCAGGCGACCCCTAGCAGGATACCACCGTAGGACAGAAACGACACAAAGTGTGTGACTTGTCGAAGGTCACCCCAGAACTCGTAGAAATACCAACCAAGGGTTCCCACGCAACACACCAAGTACAGAGAAACAAACAGCAACGACAGGGAACCAACGAGACGATTGTTCACCCATCGTGGAACTGGAAAGAAACAAAAATATCCACACCTAATCAAAATCGCATGACAACAGGAAATAATTCGTCATTTCTCGGGACATAATTAATTTCCTTGACTTTTTTTCAACATCCTCCTTATTTTGCAATATAAATAACACTCAATATTTATTAAAGGAAGCTGCCTTTAAAGTTCGACTAGAAAGACAAGTTCCTTAATTTTCTTTCCCAAGGCCCGGAAACTATATCACACTATTTATTTCCGATACAAAAAATATATCAAGATCTGTCATCATGATAGCAGATTTAATGTTCAGCTATTATTTGGAAGTTTGTAAGAATAAGTTGTAAATAGCACTATTGGTACACAGTATTCTTACCATTGCACTCATAAGCATTCATAATGTGTATACTTTAGCATGCAAATAATGAATGCTTATGAGTGCAATGGTAAGAATAATTTCATGAGGTGACAGATGGAAAGCTCGCCGAGATGAATGGAACATTCCATCTGTCACCGAATGAAACTATTCTTTCCACTGCACAATGTGAAACATTCATTATTTGTTTTACACAACACCTGAATAAATCCTCGTCATCTGATTGGTCAAGCAATAGGGTGTCCGTGCAATGCAACTTAGTTTTATTTACCGTGGAACAGACTTTTGTTTGTGCGCGGTACGGCTGGGCCGTGGGTTAAGTTGAACCGGAATAATTCAATGACACGTGATCAACGACCCACCAATCAGAATGACGGAGATTTATGCAGACGGGGATTTTGGCCAGTAATAACGGTGCACAATGGTGGACACAATAGCTTGGTTATAGTTCCAGTGGGTATTTTTTTTTTTGCGTTTACCTAACTTGCCCACTCAAAATATGTCCTAGTCTGGTTCCCAGACCAAAACGATTCATCTGATGAATCTTAGGTCAGGCAGCCGCCAATATCACATGACCTAAACAGGAGAAATTCCTCCCGTTTCCGAAAATGTCCGAAGTTTACCGAATGCATTTCGTCGACACTCTCGGATAGCGCCCGGATATTTTCGGGTATAAAATAGGTTTTATTTTTGACATGCTTATTGAAAAAAAAAAGAGTTCATCATAATTGCTTGCATTTAAAAAAAAAAAACCACATTGGAATTCAATGACGACTGTGTGCATTAAGTATGCATGGATCGTATGAGGGGCGAGCTTTGCTGCGTCATGTACTATTTTGAACCTGACGACTATTGCCTAGTATTCCAAAACTCGTCTCCATTTCGGTTCGCCTGCTATTTGGCAGTGTTGGAGCAAAGGCTTTGACCCTCAAGGCCAAGGCCAAGGCTTTGACCCTCAAGGCCAAGGCCAAGGCCAAGGCTTTGACCCTCAAGCCTCGAGGCCAAGGCCAAGGCTTAACCCTCAAGGCCAAGGCCAAGGCCCTGTTTTACGAAATGACCACTGATATAGAACTAATTATAGTCACATGAGTGACACATCATCACGCAAGGGCGGATCCAGAACACAATGTGGGGGGGGGGGGGGGGCAAAGAAATGTTGGTGTCCCCCCCCCCAAAAAAAAGGTGGGTCAAAAAATTACGGCTTGGGCTTCGGGGCCCGCTTAAGGGCTCCGAATAATTTTTGGATTCGAGATGTTCTGTGGTGCGATTTGAGGCAATTTCTGACCATTTTAACTGTTGTTTTTTTAGGAAAAGATGGTGGTGTACTCATTGCCTGCCTTTATTACGACGTCACATAAAAAAAATGGTTTCGTGTTTTTTTTGGGGGGGGGGGGGGCATGGCCCCTTTTGGCCCCCCTGGATCTGCCCTTATCATCACGAATTGCTCGTTACGAAGAACAACATTTCTTTAATTGCAATCAACATGCTCGCATATGCCTACACCGTTTTATGACTGCACTGTATCTATTAAAGTATAAGTTCAGGTCTTCAATATGGTTTAACTAAACAAAATAATGATTTACTTCTATATTGACACACAATTCTCCCAAGTGTAACAAAAGGGGGATCCAAGAAACTAATTTGGGAAATTTTTATTTGCTGGCCCAGCATGCTCAGAAATATCAGTATTATCTAAAACAGATACATGCAAATCTTTAGCACTTATCAGGGAGACATACATGTAGGCCTATACAACCAATCAGATCTATTCCATAGTTATATGCAATAAAAGTGATCATCTCATTAGCCCCACAAGTGTACGGAATATTGTTGCATCAAATCTACTACAATGGTAACAAAATGTGATGCTACAAAAGTGGAAGTGTGCCCAACACACAAATCTATAGGGTGCTTCCCTCCTCCATGGTAATATGATTAAAATGGTAACAGCAAAATTTCGAACAGATTTATCTGGAAAATGCAAAAATCTATGGGCCTTAAAGAGCCTTGACTCAAAATTGCAAGGCCCTGAACCCTCAAGGCCAAGGCCAAGGCTTTTGCCCTCAAGCCTCGAGGCCAAGGCCCTAAAATCCAGCCTTAAGGCAGCCTTAAGGCCAAGGCTTAGCATCAAGGCACTACATCACTGCTATTTGGGTCCCTATCTTTGAAGATTCCAGCTCAACGTCATTCAATGTTTTCTTACAGAAATGCCAAACTGTATAATAAATGAAGCAAGTGATTGTTTTTTGGTTTTTAATTTCATCGGAACATTGTTAATGATAAAGATTTTAATGACAAGGCGAAACGGGAAACGAAACCGAACTTTGAGTAAGGCCATGATGCCTATTATTTTTTGCCGTGGCGGCGAGATACCTGACCTACAATTTATAGACGTCAGGGCGTCGGGGAACCGTCAGTCAGGGAACCAGACTAACTGTGCCCGTCAAAAAAACTAATGGAAAATATATTAAAGGCCAATTTGGGCACATGTACCAGAAACATTAAATTCACGGCTACTGGAGAAGACTACAACAATGTACCTGCGTCAGTGTAATCGCTGACCACCATTCCATCTGCATTCCACAGAAGGCTCAAGCACACAGGACATCTACTGTCTAGACTCTCTTCAGTCGTTATGTTGTCCCTAACGGGAAGGTTGGCGTTTTCATCCATTTCCTTGTCACGTTGCGCTTGCGCATCCTCATCTGAATAAAAAAAGGAGATTTTGTTTCCTTCTTAAATCCACTCGATATGGTGAACATCAGGGCGTGTATACAAAGTGTGACAAGCTTAATTTTCAGATTCTTTTGGTAGACCATAATACACATGGAGCCAAGGGGAGACAAAAAAGCGGAACCCAAAAAATTACATTTCATATTTAAAAATATACGTAGCACCAAACATAATAATGACTGGAAAGCCAATTTCATAAGCTACTTTTAGATGAAACAAATTACTGAAATTGCTCAATCCGTTCAAAGAATATCATAATTTAAACACAATGACCCTAAAACCTCTTTCGTCAAATGCGATTTCAAGAATCGTCGTCAGGAATCGTCATCACCAGCGATAAAACCTGTTTAAAGGTTTAAAAGGTTCAACAGAGTCCTTTTGAAGGCCCGTCTTTTTTTAAAGTGGATTTTATAAATGTTGTTTGCCTATCCAGGGTTGATAATAAAGATAGTGTGTACTACAGTTGTTGACAGTTGTTGAAACAAGTATTCACTGTCATTTTTTGTTGGACGAAACAGGTTTAAGGGTCATTGCGTTTAAATGGTACTATTCTTTGAACGGATTGAGCAATTTCAGTAATGTTTTTCATATAAAAGTAGCTTATGAAATTGGTTTCCCAGTCATTATGTTTGGTGCTACATATTTTTTTTAAATATGATATATTGTTGGGGGTTTGGGTTCCGCTTTTTTTTTTACTCACCCCGTAGGGTGAATTGTGAATGAAGAAAACCCATGAATGTCCATAACAGTGTTTGGTTTTAACGGCTTATATAATCAAGTATACACAGGCATGCAACTGGGAAATCCCAAAAAAAGAGGAAATTCAAATTTTTCCCAGACTTTGTACAGTGTTTTTCTATTTTCAATGGCACACATGTGAAGTAAAAAAAGAGGAAATCAGCTGATCCGAGGAAAAGTTGCATGCCTGTTATAATACAATTTTTAATAAAATCAATGATTTTTTTCTGGTCATGAAAACAAGGAATCCTAAAAAGTGCCCAAGGTAGCGCTCGCAAGCCAGAAGAAACTTGTAGAGAGAAGAAAACGAGAAGAAATCACAGTTTTAGAGGTGGGAGGAAAACCCCAGAAGAATATTCTGGGGAAACAGGTAGAGACTAAAAACCCAATCCACATATTGGCCCAGGCAGGAGTCGAACCCGGGTCACAGCGGTGGAAGGCGAGGAAAGTACCGCTGCGCCAATCCGACTCCCCAAAGGAAAACATGCGTGAAAAGACAGAGAGATGGATTTAGGATTGGTGGCAGGGGATGAGGTGTTCAAGTTGCAAAGGCCTTAAGCTGGGAGTCACGTTTTGCAAAACTGATTGAAGTTGGAATGAATAAATAAAAATGTAAAGAATTAAAACTATAATATTATAGGATGTTAATTATAACCAGGCCTATATAATTCCCATCCGGCTCCTTAATAATAATGAGCCGGATAGGAAATTTCCCGTTTTTTTCTCCCAAACGAGTTTTGCACGGGTTTTTGCCCCTCCCGTAATCAGCGAATGTATAGAAATGTATTGTACCGATGTCACAAGAAATATATTTTACCGATGTCACAAGAAATGTCCAAATTCTTCGTGTACACTTAATTCACCTCAGCGATGTCGTTTCAAACTGTACATACTTCTTTGCAATGGTGTACAATATTTATAATAGTTGCTTTACAACCATGCAGTAATCTCGAATGCTTTTATGTTATTTCATTGTGCTGTATTCCATTAATGTCAGTTGTACATGTGTGTATAGTATTTAATTTGTAGTTATGCAGTTATCTCGTATTGTATTCCATTTGTAATGTATTGTATTTGTACATGTGTGTATAGGCCTATAGTTATGCAGTAATCACGCATGCTTTATTTTATTGTGTTGTATTGTATTGTAATGTATTGTATTTGTACATGTGTGTATAATCATTTGAAGTGTATGCAGGGCCCCAATGGAAACCAGTTTTAAACTGTTTGGGCATACCCTGGGTACAGAAATGCAATAAAATGAACACTAGTCAGTCGGGATGGGTGCACGGCTAGGCACTCCATGCACCCACCCGGGCCCACCCTTGAAAAGCATGGTACACGTTATGTATCAATTAAAAACTGTTCTGTCAAAATCAGACTTTTCTGGGCAAAAGGTCAAAAATGAGATTTTTGCAAATTAATAAAATATGTTCTGTTTCCTTTTAATAGGTGGTTTAATTTTTGAAACCGGTCATTCCTGCGCAAAGTTATGCTATTTTGAATTATGCTATCTTATATTGGGTCGAAAAGTAGAAAACAGAGAAAATGGCCACGAACGTCACAAAACAGACATTTCTTTAACTGATATACATTAACAAATCATCAAAAATACTATAATTAGAGATCAAATTAGGGTTTCAAACTTTTATAGTATAATTTAGACATGCTCAGGATTACAAATATGCAAAAATGAGAAAATGGAAAAAAAATCACCCACACAGCATTTTTTGGCTCTATCTCAATTTCAACCTCTGCCCAGAAGCGTCTGCTTTTGACAGAACAGGTCAGTTGACACTTACCCAATTTGTCCCCGTTGGATCCTGCAGGGCTGCACAACATGCATGGTTTGGTGGCGTCAATCTGTCGTCCTTTGAAGACGCCGAGAAGTGTCCACGAAGCCAGCAAGGCTCTGGGCCAAGCCGGACTTTTAGCCTGCACAACCTGCCGCGAATCCTCCATGCTGACAAAGTGGCCTGATAGCTTACAACGACTTCCTTATAAACGATCGAAACAACTTGACTGCCGATCCAAACCGAAACAGTATTTTAACACATCCAGCTTGTTGGAAGGCACTTTGTTTATAATGATGTGTGTTCGAAAGAAACACTATCAGTACGGCAGAGACATGTAGTTGATGGGATTGTGCCTTTGATGATACAAGCATGGAATTTGGCACAGAGTCAGAGTTAGTCTTGTCCAAGACACTAGTGATCGATAGTGGATGGCACAACGCACAATTATGCCAGCGGGCCGACTCGCACTAACGTCTTGGCCATTTCGTATCACTATCAGCGGTTAGACTTTTTCTTTATTTTCTCCGTAAGCTTTCCCACGGTCTACGGAACCAATCAGCGACCGAGAAATGGTTGGATGGCTCGCCCGACGGTTGTAAACATTCGCGACGCAGTGATATACGGGGCGCGAACTCGGGAAACTGCCGTTTTGTTCGAATTTATACAGACGGTCCTATTTACATAAAATGGCCACGCCCCCATTGTTGCAAAATTTTTACCAAAGGATAAATCTGCGATGGCCCTTTGCTAAATATCTTTCTCATGACATACTCTGTGAGCCAAGTTCCATGCTAGTATCATCAAAGGCACAGGAGTCCCCCAAATATTTCCCCTATCTGCCCCACGGTTCACAGCAAAACTGGGAATTACTTCCGCATTTGAAGAAACTGTGTGCGCGCGTGCGTACCCCGTGTGTACGTATCCGAATGATACAAGTGGAATATTTTGTACAGGGAACTTCCTGTTATTAATTCAAGATGAGGATTTTTTTTTTTTATAACGAAAGTTTCCTTATGCCAAGAATAAACAAAACTCAAGCCAGCTGAGGTACTTTCCCGGAGTCGATTTCAGTTTGGTTTTCATTTCACGAGTTCGCTAATTTAAAAATAATAAGACCGAGACTTCCTGATAAACCATTATAAAAACAAGGCCATGTAAACGTTCAAACACGCCCACGATGCAGAGGATTTCGTTTCTCTCTTCCGTCGGTACGTGTGAAAATATGAATTTGGAGAACTTATTAATTGGTACCGGGTGGTAAATGAAACAAAGCAAGGAAAGAATGTAGTATCCAGACGCCACTTTTTTTCGGTTGTGTACAGGGCGAGTAGAAAAATTTCCCGTATGATGAGTTTTTGTCTCCCACAAAAACGGGAAAGGTTACCAGTTTTTTCTCTTCAAACCAACATTCGGTCTGGGTATTGACCACATTAGCATGATTAGGAACAAATTTTACCGATATTCATCCATGCATGAAAATGATACAGGCTTTCTTTGCGACTATGCACCCTAAAACACTACCAACAAAATGTTCAGAATAGGCCTCTTTGCCATAAACACTACCGCTATAAACACTACCGACACAATGATCTGATACACCGTGCCCTCTGGAGACATGCACACAAAAGGGAACAAAAGATTGTATACGTCTCCACAGGGCAATTTCTATAGATGAATACGTCTCCACTAGGTTATCACGAAATATATGGATTTTACTCAAAAACTAGGAATTTCCAAGGCATGTTGATCCGTCGCAAATGGAAGAGTTTTAGAAAAGGGATATTCAGTCCCAATTTTAGCCAAGGAAATTAATTCTGGTTAAAATAAGAGCATTTTGAAACTACATTTTCAAACTCGAAAACTTTACTACACGAGGACAAAGAATTGTGTCCACAAGGATACAAATTCCAGTATGGTGTATCAGAATAGGTCTCTTGCTAAAAACACAATGGCAACAATGGTCCAGGCCTCGGGACAATGAAGGAAATAAATGGAATAACAGAACAGGAAATCAATTAAGTGCAATTATATTTATTGAACTTGACACTGCATTACAGATAAGGTTCACATTTTCACTGTCCTGCTACTCGACCTTCCACATGTCCGTCATTCAGATCAATGCATAGTTAATGTGCCCATGCATGTCCCGAGTTGTCCTCATGTCTGCAATAGCTCTGCGGACCATCTGTGTTCTTCTGAGGGCTTTGATTTCACCAGTAATTTGTTGGCAAAGTTCCTGCAGGGTGTTTGGCACAATGCGATACACCCAGTCCTCGAGGTACCCCCAAAGAAAACAAATTAAAGGGGGATACGATCTGGAGATCTTGGCGTCCCTTGTTCTGGTCCTTGTTTGCGCCATTAAATTACATTAAAGGTTACACATGTTCCAACACCCGTACAGGGTGAGTAAAAAAAAAAGGAACCCAAACCCCCAAAAATATATTTCGTATTTAAAAAAAATATGTAGCACCAAACATAATAATGACTGGATAGCCAATTTCATAAGCTACTTTTAGATGAAAAAAAATACTGAAATTGCTCAATCCGTTCAAAGAATATCACCATTTAAACGCAATGACCCGAAAACCTGTTTCGTAAAAAAAAACAGTTTAGTGTGTATTCTGACTGTTTGGAACAACAAAGAATACGACACTTGTTTCAACAACTGTCAACAACTGTAGTAGACTACACAGTATCATTATTAACAATCCTGGTTAGGCAAACAAAATGATTTATAAAATCCACTTTTTTTTTTAAAAGACGGGCCTTCAAAAGGACTTTGTTGAATATTGTTAACTTTTAAACGGAGGCTTTATCGCTGGTGATGTTTGAAGACAATTGTAACGACGATTCTTGAAATCGCATTTTTGGGCGAAAGAGGTTTTCGAGTCATTGCGTTTAAATGGTGATATTCTTTGAACGGATTGAGCAATTTCAGTATTTTTTTTCATCTAAATGTAGCTAATGGAATTGGCTTTCCAGTCATTATTATGTTTGGTGCTACATAAGTTTTTAAGTATAAAATATAATTTTTGGGGTTTGGGTTCCACTTTTTTGACTCACCCTGTATGTTCCGACTGCACATATTCATATCCCTAACCCTTACCGGGAGTAGCACACTCTTATATGTGGGTTGTCGGAACATAGGGGTGTCGGAACATAGCGCAGTCACCGCATTAAATACCCCTTAAAAAATATTAGGAAACACATGGTAGCGTTTTTGGGTCGTCACAAAGAAAGGCTTGTATCATTTGCATGCATGGACGCATACCAGTGAAATTGTGGTCAATACCCAGATCGAATGTTGGCCGAAGAGAAAAAACTGGTAACCTTTCCAATTTTTGCGGGAGACAAGCAATGGACCGATCCAGTAAGCCCCGCCCACTGCGCACGTGGGCAAATTACCACGTGCTCCTCTCCAATGCCACGCTGCATTTTCCTGCCGCGCGCATCATACGCGCGTGCATGCATGTCGGACTTCTGTGCACGCACGTCGGACATAAATCACGGTGGTGATTGGTCAGTACACCATAAAGCGGTGCTTACTGGATCGGTCCATTATCCAAAGTGTGGACATTTTGTTTTTTATCTCCCTGTTCAAAGTCTATGGAGAGTGGAGTGCATTTTCAAGGTATTTCCTAACCAATTTGGAAATGTTTCTCGGTCCCAGACTCGTGTCTTTTTTATGCCCCGCGGCGAAGCCGAAGGGGCATACTGTTTCCGCCTTGTCCTTCCGTGGGTGGGTGGGTGGGTGGTTGAGTTTGTCTTACATACGCAGTGTGGACTTCCGAACAAAAGACGTCCATATAATGTAGGTAGCACCGACGTTGTGTGGACTTACCCCACGTCCACACAGTGTTTCCCCATTTCTGGAAAACAGGTTTAGAGGCATTTTTGGGTTAGGTTTATCTGTAGCAGAATGAAGAGAAACACTAAAGGGAATCATAGAAAAAAAATTGGGTTGAAAGAGTTTTCATAGTTTGAGAAAAATGAGTTTTTTCACTGGTTTTTCTTAACTACACGAAAGCAATGGAAAGTCCACACTAGTCATGTGAAACAAGTATGTGTGGGTGGGTGGGTGTGTGTGTCCGGACAAATCTTGTCAGCACGATAACTTGAGAAATACTTAACATATGAACTTCAAATTTGGTCTGTGTATTGTTCTTGGTAATCCTAAGAGGCCTATTGCATTTGGGGCCGAAAGGTCAAGGGTCAAGGTCACAGTGGCTGAAACAATAGAAATTTTGTCAGCGCGATAACTTGAGATATACTTTACATATGAACTTCAAATTTGGTTTGTGGATTGTCCTTGGCAATCCTGAGAAGCCTTCTGCATTTGGGGCCGAAAGGTCAAGGGTCAAGGTCACAGTGGCTAAAACAAAAGAAATTTTGTCAGCGTGATAACTTGAGATATACTTTACATATGAACTTCAAATTTGGTTTGTGGATTGTCCTTGGCAATCCTAAGAAGCCTATTGCATTTGGGGCCGAAAGGTCAAGGGTCAAGGTCACAGTGGCTAAAACAAAAGAAATTTTGTCAGCGCGATAACTTGAGAAATACTTTACATGTGAATTTCAAATTTGGTTTGTGTATTGTTCTTGGTAATCCTAAGAAGCCTATTGCATTTGGGGCCGAAAGGTCAAGGGTCAAGGTCACAGTGGCTGAAACAATAGAAATTTTGTCAGCGTGATAACTTGAGAAATACTTTACATATGAACTTCAAATTTGGTTTGTGGATTGTCCTTGGTAATCCTAAGAAGCCTTTTGCATTTGGGGCCAAAAGGTCAAGGGTCAAGGTCACAGTGGCTAAAACAATCGAAATCTTGTATTTATTCTGAGATCATAGGGATTAGGGATTAATTCATATAAAACCTACAGAAGACACTAATGCTGTCAATGAACATTCCATGTGACCAAGGTACATGTAAGTTGATGTTAAAAGAGTGGTGTTATGTCATGGGAACAGTCACGGTTGCGGGGCATTTGTGTTTGTAAACACACCTGACTTGTTAATTTCTGCAATGACTGACCTTCATTGTAGATGATGAAAAAAAAATTGGCGTCAGGATGCAACATTCTTTCCCAAAACAAAATTCTCAAAAAAGAAATGAGGACAGAAAATAGATTCTGACCTCAATTCCCTCATTATAACCAAATTATATATACATATTTTTGTTTTTAGTTATATCGACATGCAATTTCCGCATACTTATTTCTGTCGGCAATTGTTGGAATCGGGCCAAATAATACTACTACATTGTACTATTTTTACTTTGATAACAATTCACTATATGCGAGTACTCTTTGTTATTGTAAGAGACCGTTGGTCAATAAGTAATTTGGTCTCGAGATCGTTTGTTTATATTATGTTTAACTCGACTCCAACAAACCAAAACAGAGACTAACACAAAAGCAATGAATGCTACGAAAACGCAGTAGAAAACAAAATAAACGAAACTTCAATAACAAGGAAATTATAAATACAGCAAACCACAGACATGAGGGATGCTCTTCATAATTTATGGGTTCAACTGAAAAGTGTTTATAAAAACAGTCACAATAACATAACAAAAACCAAATTATCGACAAATACAAACGACATTGATCAGGGTTGGAAAAGGAAACTTTTGCAGGGAAGTATTTAACCCCGTAAATAATAGGAAACATTAAAACAGAAAACAAAAATGACATCAAACAAGACACAATTATTCAGGTTCTTAAAGACTACAGCAGTTTAATGGAGTCTCTTTCAGTTCTGTATTTCTGTTTTTGGTATCCTATGTTAAAAGATCTGTACAATGTCTGTCTGTCCGTCTGTGTGTCTGATGTCTGTGAGTTTGTTTCTGCATTCAATGGGGGACGTTGAAGAATAGAGGACAATAGGGTCCCCATTTCCCGAGAGGTCCTCTATTTGGATTTGTGTACAAAACATATGGGAGGTCTTCCTAAAAAGTTAGAGTACAAACAAAAGAGGACAATAGGGGGTCCCCGATTGCCTGCAAATGCACACCTACGTGTGTCACGTTTTTTTTAAGGCCTTAGGAGTGTGCTGAGGCACAAAATGCAAGGGTTAGTGGAGAGGTATCCAATGTATGCAGGTCCTAGCTACGATTTCACTCTGAAGTCACGGTTGGCACGTCAAAAAAAATTGTTTTGCTTTGCTTTTTTGGAAAATTTCTTTCTTTCAGACTTTGAATAGTGAAATATTACATTATCTCTATGAAAACTCTCCAAAACGTATCGCTACTACGCAAAATGTAAAGTTGACGATGACAAATGTGGCAAAATTGCTTCACCAAGGTTTAACCACGCCCACTTGGGGTCAACATGCTAATTGAGGTCAAAGTTATACATTAGTACACGACTCCACCCAACTAGCGCAGCATCCCGCTAGTGAGAATGACCCAAAAAAAGTAATTAATACTGAAATAATTTCAACATCTTGTTAATTATCCAGTTTTTCATTGTGAAGACAGCCGTTTGGCAACTCTTTGATGAAATGTTGAACTCATAATTCAATTCGGGCGATTCACAATGCAGTGCGCCACCAAGAGTTTGCCATGTAGAGTTCATTTTCCCCAATGCATTGTGGGAGATGGTCGACAAATTCGCAGCGCGGGACATTTGAAATTGTTCGTTTTGCCGGTCAGTAGTTTCATAAGCGTACGATTCGAGTATATGTTTGCTCTTTCTTTTCTTTTTTATTAATATGGTGTTTCTTGTGAGGCGGCAGAACGCTATGCCCCAATCTATAACAAATAAGCTCAAGTTGTCTACTGACACTCTTTCAAATGGGCCCATGTTTTGTCGACCGTAAATTTAAAAGGTTGACTCTCAATGGCAAACTCTTGGTGGCGCACTGCATTGTGAATCGCCCGAATTGTACAAAGGCAGACAATAATATAAATCTATAATATACATTTTATTTACATTATAAATTATCATACCTTTTTGAGATAGTTTTACGATTTTGGTCTGCCTTTTTTCCAGACCCTATCGTGCTGCCGCTACATATCCATCTGAAGATCCAGCAGCAGTTGGGCATTGATGTCGTCAAGATCTTTCGTATCGTCAGCCTCAAGGGCGCCCTCTACATCCAGCTCAGGATCACTACTGTGCGCGGGCTCGTCAATTTGGTTCACCTTTAAATTAAAGGAAAAATACAACATTTGCAAACATCAAAAAATAAAACTACCAAATCATTTTGAAATACCTTGCTGGACTGTTAGTGAATGACAGTGTAAAGCATCCTGTAAAATCATGGCACCTAGTATACTTTCATTTTCAACGCTGATCGGCCGATCAGCATTGGAAAAAACTGGCTTTTTTTCAAATAATGGCCCCAGTTGACCATCGCACTTGTTTGCAATCGATTACACACCTATGAACGGGTACAAGCCAGCTAGACTGGTTCCCTGACCTTACAATTCCCCAATATATGTAAACTGCTCTGTTTTTTCTCAAATGGAGTCAGGGAACCAGACTACAGGAAAATGATTGTTTTTCTTGGTTTTTATAGCATTTTCGAACCCAAAACCTCAAAAAAAGTTAGTGTAACTATATTTGCTTTATATTTCCAACCCCCCAATTCCATCCATTTCTGAAAATTACAGCAAAAGCAAATGATGTATATTCCCTTTAATAGACAGAATGTGAAGTACATATACATATGAAGCATTGTAAAATGATTCAACTCTAAAAAAAAAAAAAGTAACAAAATGATCTGTTTAGTGTTTACAAGGACACAATGTTGCATCCTGACGCCATGTTTTATCATATATATGTATCATCCAAATGGAGGTCAGTCATTGCAAAAATGTAAAAAAAAACATGAATCTGGGACTGACAGGGGTGTGAGTGACCACTGATAAAGAGCTGAAAACAGCTGAAAAACGTGTTAAAAAAGCTGAACTTTGGAAATCTCCTATCCTGTACACAGCAAGTGAGGGAAAATCTGAAAAAAAGCTGCAATCCAAAACTAAAAATAGCTGAAATCAGCTTTAAAGCGGAGATTTCACACCCCTGACTGAAAAGCAATTTCAATTTTTGTTAGAAAATACTTCAAAAATTGTCTTGACTCTCCATAGACTTTGAATGCAACCAACAAAATAGCATCTGGATACTTTCTATCCATTTACAATACTAAAGAGATACATGTATTTATTTAAAATATACTATTTAATAGTATATTTTAAATAAATATCTCTTTAGTATTAGTATTACTCCCACATTAGTAATACTCCCACAACCTTTATAGTTGGCCAGATGTTGGAGTAAGTTTACAGTTGCATTATAACAAGATTTTTTTTTGGTCAGGAACCTTCAACATCCACCACTAGGCAAGAGTTTCAGAATGCTCTAAATTCTAAGGCTATTCAAGCCAATGTAAAAACAACATTTGATAGCTCCTTTCTAAATCTTTCAAAATATCCTGATCGATTTTGAAAGGTCTACAACAGTTAAGATTATAAATTAAAGCTTTCACATTTTGGTTCAGTGTTTGTAGAGTGCCTTATGGCCAGTTGTCATTCAGGCTTGAACGTTTGAAGCCAAAGTCAACAGAACAAATGATAGTAACCGATATTCATGAGAAGAGTGACATAGAAAGTGAAACTATCTATTGATTCAGTTTTACAAGCTAGAAGTGAAGTTGTGTTTGCACAAGAAACTGAAATTTAAAAGCTGCTTTGAAAGTTTATCGACACTCACTGTTACTGTGTTCTTAAGTTCCTCCTGGGTGACGTAATGTAGTTTATCCACGGCAGTACAGTTGACCTCTACAGCAGTTTTGCCGTTGGGTAGAACGACGAAGAAGAGTTTGCTGAAAGCGGACTCGCTGGCCCGCTGAAAGGCAATTTTCTTGGCTCTGAGGAACGCAGTGATTTTACTCATGGGTTCTGGAAGGTGCCAAAAAAATAAACTTCATGTTAACAACTTACTGAATTAATCACTTGCAATTTTACACAAAAAGTACAAATTGTGAAGTTATGCGTTGCACATTTGTATGTTGCGGTTCACTGATTTATTCAACCTCGTCCCCAGTGCTTACTTTATTTCCAACCTCGTTTCCAATAGTAAGCCCTGGATAGGAAACTTTCTTCCTGTAACCTGATTCGATACCGCAATTTGCTAGTAATGGATTTATATCGTGTACTTGGTGTTGTTCTTTCCAACGTGCAGTACGAGTTATCGCGATCATTGTAATAAAAAAGTCCACGCCTTCTCAAAAATACTCCTTTCTTTTCCAATTTGCTCATATCAATATGAAATGTGATACTGCATATTGGCAGGATAAGATTGTAAATTTTTTAACTTCAAAAACAATCTTGTTTTCGTAACTCACGGCGCGACGAATTGATGCTGTTTTGATCCCAGACACCGCATACAAAAACAAACGCTAATGTAATGCACATGCAGGCACCAGACTATTCTTCATTTGCATATGTGTTCAAAATTTTGCACATGCAAATGATCCAATACCAGGGTGAGAGAGCAGGTAGTGGTTGGCGCGTACTGCTCGACACCCTGGGGACGAGGTTGTCATTTATTGAATAGATATTGATCAACTGACGTAATTTGACCTATGACCTGACCTCATCTGACCTATGACATGACCTCATTTTTTACCTTGTGTGGTGAATTCAACTTCTCCGACTCCAACTCCTTCACTGTGTAAGTTGTGTCGTCTGATGTCGATTCTTACTATGGCAATGAAGCGAGCAGTGTTAGGTTCGCAATCTTTATCCTGCTCCAACTGTTCAAAAAAAAAAAAAAAATGGAAGAAAAATTGAAAATACCGCATGACAATCAGGCACGTACATGCCGTACTCTAATATAACACTAAATTTGTGTTAGTCTCTTCTGCTTATGCCTTCAACTGAACTCAACTTTTAAACAAGGCGGTTCTTGAACCGCGCGCCTTGCCTGTTTGCGCGGTTATCTTTAAAGAGTGATTTCTGACTGTGGTGTGTCCTCAGAAAAATCAGATGGCCTTTGACCTTGCTTTGTGACCTTTGATATCATTAACATCTGAAGGTTGCCATGTTGCCTTTATGGTAGCAGACCAGTAAATAAACTTCCATAGACCCCAATGGTAAATGCTCCGACTTCAAAAATTCGGGGAAAATACTCACAACTCTCCAAGGTGTTCGAGACACACATCAAATTAAAGCTTATTTCATCATCTTTCATTTTCTTTTCAATTTTCGGGGGGGTCAACTGATGACTTTTAGGAGAAATTTCCATCTGAAGACGATCACCCCTGAAAATAGTCCTGAAGCCCATCGCCATTTTGAAAAACGATGCCTACACTCCATTGCAAAATAGAGCGCTTTTAGGGTCCAAATTACATCCAAATTACACAGAACTGCAAGCTCCCAGTCCTGTGCACAGCTTTCACCCATATTTTTTACAAACCCTCAAGTTCATGGCCCACAGCATGCTCAAATACTGAAGATTTGGAGGGCATGCGAATCGTGATTTGGCCGGCGCAGGCAATTTCGGACCGATTTACTGGTCTGCACCCTTATGACTCAAGTTTGGTTCCAATTGGACTGCAACTTTTCAAATGAGACCAATTGCACATTTTGAGCCTATTTTACAACTTGACATCAGATGACCTTTGTATGTGACCTTTGACATCAGTATCACATGAAGGTTGCCATGTTGCATCTATGACCCAAGTTTACTTCCAATTGGACTTCAACTTTTCAAATGAGACAAATTTTCCAAACTTTAACCAAAATAACCACACCTACGGACAGACATAGTGATTGCATGGTCTCTTTCCTAAACTTCGTTCAGGCGCGACAAAAGTTGAACTCACGGACACTATTGTGCTGGACCAGCCATTGAAACCCAAGTAGTGATTAGCAAGCTCACAACACCGTTGGAATTGAAGTTGGGAACTATTCTCAATTGGTTTCTGTCTGTTGGCAAACTTCACCTGAAAAAAAAAAAAATCAAAGAAAGTATGAAACATTGCATTATTGGTCTTTCGAAAAACAAATAAATAATGAAAAATTCATGTCAATGTCTATTATTCTCCAGTTTCTCTTCTTTTTTCATTCTCTACAAGCATTTTTGAAACATAGATGTAGTAGGCCTATATAACAACTTATACAACATTTGCTTTTGCTGTAATTTTCAGAAATGGATGGATTTGGGGGTTAGTTTTTAAGAGCAAATATTGTTATACTGACTTTTTTGAAGTTTTGTGTTCATAGATGCTGGAATAACCAAGAAAACAAATGCTGCTCTTGCAGTCTGGTTCCCTGACCCTATTTCAGATGAAACAGATAAATTTATAGACGTCGGGGAATTGTCAGGTCAGGGAACCAGACTAGCTGGCTTGCACCTACTCATGGATGTGTAACCAATCGCAAACAAAATCTGGACCAACTCAACTTAGTAAATTTGGGGCAGTATTTGGAAAAAAGTAACGTTTTTCCAATGATGGTCAGCCGACCATCGTTGGCACATATTTTGCACATGAGAGGGAAGTCAAGGGATTTCAAAATGGGGCTAAATACTAGACTGGTACATGTCCAACTATGGTCCAACTATTTGAAAAGACTGACCTCTTCATTCAGTGTCAATAGTCTGGTGGCTTGACTATGGAGAAATGTGTAGTAAATTGAGACTAGTTCCCGCTTCATACCACACGTTTCTTAAATTCTTTTGGCATGGTTGTTTGATGCAGTACTGAAGCTGTGTTGGACTGGTTGTTTTTAGGTGCCAGTCTATGTTCTTGTTTTGCATGTTTTCAATACCTTAAAGGGAATATACAACATTTGCAAACATCGAAAAATAAAACTACCAAGTTTTTACGAAATACCTTACTAGGATGTTGGTAAATGATAGTCTCAAGCATTTTGTAAAATTATGGCACCTGGTGTGAAGTCATTTTCAAGAAAATGGTATTTTTGTATACATTTCCAACGGTGGTCGGCCGACCAGCGTTGGAAAAACCTAACTATTTTTCAACTACTGCTCCAAATTAACCCTTTTTTCAGTCCAAATTTTGTTTGCTATTGGTTACATGTTTCATGAACGGGTGCAGGCCAGCTAGACTGGTTCCCGTGCCTTACAATTTTCCATCATCTATAAATTGATCCATTTTATCTTTTGTGGAGTCGGGGAACCAGACTACTTAAACATTTTTGTTTTTCTTGGTTTTTCCAACCTTTTCGAACACAAAACTTCAAAAATGTCAGTGTAACAATATTTGATCTATATATACTAACCCCTCAAATAGTTCATTTCTGAAAATTACATCAAAAACCAATGATGTACATTCCCTTTAAGTTTTGGGACTCTCATACACAGTATTGAGAGTCCCAAATTTTCGGACTAATCCTTACCCTGAGGAGTCGACCATCCAACATATACTTTCCGCTGATCGCTTGTAGCGCAGAGCTAGCAGCTTTGGTGGAGTAATATTTGACGAATGCATACAATCCTCCCTGACCGACATGACTAGACGCAGTCACATTGATGGTCTCTGTCTGCACGTTATCGTCAGGGGTCGGAGGTTGATGTCCAGGGCCACTGCCAAGAACTTGGACTTCGTACAGCAGACCAAACTGAGAGAATATATGGTGGAGTTTTGCCTGTGAACGAAAAATATTGGAATTCATATTTATGTAATTAGCCACGTTGAATTGTATTTGTAACCTTTTTGAAACAAATTAAACTTAATATGAATGATTTCAGAATTTGGAAAGATTTCCATATACGAAGTTCACTCAACACCCTGTGTACAAACCCTATAAGATTGGACTGAAAAATTCTAAGTGTTTTCTAAGAAAATGCTTGTATTTTCTCACTGCTCAAATTGACTTAAATGACATGAAATTGCTATCTGGGGGCTTGTTAGTCAATACAGAGGAAAATTAGTGAACTTCGTATATGGAAATCTTTCCAAGACAAAATCCTGACGTTGTATAGCTTGAGTAACTCCAGCTGACATGCTCCATATTCATTCACATGTGAATGAATATGGACTATGGAGCATGTCAGGGAAAAAATTCCGTACTCGGACGTCACTTTTTTCAATTAATTTTCTAGCGCCAAAAGTTACATCTTTTATGGTTATTCCTCCACTTTCCCTCCTCTACTCTCACCCTCTCCTTTCCTTAATTTCTATTTATTAATCAGTCAGTTACTTCATCGGGATTCGAACCTCTGACGCTTGCTTGATACACGAGACTCTTAACCGCTAGGCCGCGCACGATCGCTGTTGCAATAATCAATCTTTGGACGTATTTGAAGTATCCATTGAAATAAACTAAATATTCATGAGAAAATAAATATTCATAATGACGTATTGCACTATCATTGGCAGGCTCAATTGACGTCATGGTTGTTGATGTCACGTGTATAACGTACCGCTGTCTTTCAGCCACTACAATCAGTTTGGACCGGCTGCTTCAAGTTAGTTCTGCACGACGTATGCATCCAAAATGTGCTCTAAAAACACATTTTGAGTAATTTTTTTTTCACCTTAACACAGCTTCCTGGATTTCTCTTGGTTCAAATGACAAGGTGAGGTGACAATTAATATGTTTGGCAGCAGATAAATTGACGTCCGAGTATGGATCTTTTCCCCATGTCAGCTGGAGTTACTCAAGCTAGACGTTGTATACTATTTAGGTCTGGGAACATGGGAATGAGGCGGTTGACATAGATTCGCAATGGTATTTTTGCAACGCCGTAACGATAGCAGTTGAAAATTAGTTGAAAGTTGAAAAGCAGTTACCACTGCACTGGCGCGCACACGGTGCAGTGGCACATGGCACAGGGCATCAGTACGTAAACAGGTAGGCTAAACAGAAAATTATAAATCCGAAATGAGCTTACAATTACAGCTTCTTCGGTCAACCTATTTGAGATTCCGGTCACATACAGATTTTTATCCTTGGTATGTGGTCTGGCAAATTCGACGATATCCAGGGCGTCTGCCATTTACAAATGTAATGCCAAAAAAAGTGAAAAAAAAACAGACGAACTGTTTTAGCTGTCCTTGCGATGCTTGTTGAATTTCGCTCCAAAATTTACTAAATAAAAAGTAAAGAGAGGGCGCTATACATGTATTTCGCACCAAAAAAAAAAGCTTGTCGTCCTTTACCAATTGAGGGCGCTATTCACATAATTGTTACCATAGCGAGAAGTGGACGCTGCCGCATATGATCAAAAATACCACTAAAAACTAGCAAATTTCTTAGAGAAGTCGTTAATTTGCATGGAAAACAATCTTTTGCACCAATGCCGGGTATGTTTGCGCTACATAGAAACATGGTTTGATATGAATTGGATCCCCCTTTATCATCTTAATTTGTCGATCAAATTTACTAGCTTGACCACTAGCTTGAGTAACTCTAGCCCGACTGCGTCTGGCCGTACGGGTCCTACTAAAGCGCGTCAACAAACGTCAACAAACGTCAACAAGTTTTAGTAGTCGTTAAGTGCGCGTCAACAAATTTTGTATAGGCCTTTGGACAATAAAAACAGCTTTATATGGTAGAAAAAGCAATAATGAACATCTTCTGCATATCAATTAAAGTTAAAATTACTTAAAAAGTGGTTTCCCAGCGCGAAATCTACGACGGGTTTTTTTGGTTTAGTATTGGCCGCCATCTTGTTTGAGATCTATATACTACGCATGCGTGGAGTGTACCATTCACGCATAGGGGTTTCTTTATACGATCAATCGAAGCGCCCTCTGTTGTCGAAAATATTCAATTCTAGAAATTCGGAAAACTATGTTTTTTTCAATTATAAATTATGCAAAACTTGGTCACGGTACTTTGCTTATTATTTCAAAAATATGCCGACTGACACTGTTCACAAAGTCTGCCAAAAAATCCCAATGCAAAAACCAAACGAGGTTTCGCAAAGCGTATAGTATAAAGAAACCCCTATGCGTGAATGGTACACTCCACGCATGCGCAGTATGTTTATTTCAAACAAGATGGCGGCCAATACTAAACCGATAAACCTGTCGTAGATTTCGAGCTGGAAAACCACTTTTTAAATAATTTTAACTTAAATTGATATGCAGAAGATGTTCATTATTGCTTTTTCTACCATATAAAGCTGTTTTTATTGTTCAAAAGCCTATAAAAAATTTGTTGACGCGCACTTAACGACTACTAAAACTTGTTGACGCTTGTTGACGCTTGTTGACGCTTGTTGACGCTTGTTGACGCGCTTTAGTAGGACCGGGCCGTACAGTACTATCGCAAGCTCTGTAGTACGGCCAGACGCCCAATGCTTCCACAGAGACTGAATTTTTTTGGCCGCTGATGTAGCGATTTTGCTACAGATTTCGATCGAGATTATCTTTCCATCCAGGACAAAAATTTCCAAAGTTAAGGTTCTTAGTCGTAGAGCAACTCATACCTTTTCGAAAAAACGTGACTTTGGTTTCAATATTTTCATCCATCTGGCCAAAAGACTGGGTTACCCAATTTTTTTAGGCCTAGGTCTTATTTTTTTAAATTATTTATTTTAAACACATTTATTTCCTCGTCATGACTGAAATGGAAAATAATATAGTATTGAAACAAAATATTAAGTCCACTAGAGGTGGCAAAACCTTGAATTTAAAGCATAGCTTGTATCAGGCATGATATTACACAAAACAGACGAATAATAACAGAAAAAAAACAATTACTTACATGACATTGTATACTTCTAAGCAGTAAACAAAGTTATGAAAAACAATAATAACGGGCTACGAGTAGGATCTCCGTGCATATAAAGGCCAAGGGCAGAGACACATTACATATAAAATATATCACATTACATAAGGTACAATTTAAGTTTGCGTTTAAAATATTATATGACCTTAGACATCTAAGAGAGAATGGTATATTTTTTCCATATTTTAAAAAAATATGTTGAAATAAGATTGAGAATCAAAATGTTGATTGAACTGCTGATAGTTGAACTTGACTCAAGTTGAAGTTAATTTTGTTGTTATTTTTCCCCATCTTCAAGGTAAAACAAAGAAAGTAGAGAAGGAAGAGGAGACACCTGCTGCACCGTTAAGTGGCGTCTACATCTTCCCTAATGGAGATAAATATGGTAAAACAACCCCAGACTGGGACCTGGAGTGCTCTGAAACGTGCAAAACTAAATCAGGCCAACCTTACTCACTCTTTAGCCAGCAAAATTCTCCAAAAATTCCACTGGGCAAAGAAAAAGTCCTTTAGTATTTCACCAACCAAGTCTGAAGACTCAATTCCGCTTTTAAAGGAGAGTTTTCTTCAATATTTTGCACATGAGAGGGAAGTCAAGTGATTTCAAAATGAGGCTAAAGACTAGACTGGTACATGTCAAACCATGGTCCAACTATTTGAAAAGACGGACCTCTTCATTCAGTGTCATTAGTCTGGTGACTGACAATGGAGAAATGTGTAGTAAACAGACTAGTTCCCGGCTCGTGCCACGTTCCTTTTTTTGCACAGTTGATTGATGCACTCATGCAGTACTGAAGTGGTGTTACTGGTTGTGTCAGATGTCAGTCTATTTTATTGTATTGCGTGTTTTCAATACCTTTAGTTTTGAAACTCTCATAGTGTGAGAGTAAAACACAGTATTGAGAGTCCTAAATGTTTGGACAAAAATAATTATTATTTAATTCAATTTTTGTCTCCAAAACCTTGATCTCCTTTAGCCTACTATGAATGACTCTAACTGAGTACTAACATTTTAGAAAGAAAGGAAACGATATGCCCTTTCACTTCAGTCATAATTTGCATTTTAATTTTTATAATTCAAAATTAAATATTGATTTTCTGCCAGATTTCAAGTTTAAATGAAGGTAATTGTACCACCCAAATTCTGATGATGTTTCATCAGAAAATACACTGAATTTCATCTTTTTTCAATTGTTTAGACGGAGAGTATATTATGACCGATGACGGTGCGTTGGAACGATCAGGAAAGGGTACGCACACAACAGCAAACGGCACGGTGTACGAGGGGGATTGGGCCCAGGATAAAATGACAGGACACGGCCGTCTGACGCACCCTAACGGGAGTGTGTACGAAGGGGAGTTTGTTCAGAACCAATTCCACGGGAGGGGGAAATACACATGGCCCAATGGAGCGGTCTACCAGGGAAACTTCAATGAGAACAGGTGAGTGTATTATAGGAACCAGGTACAGCGGAACACCTTTATAACAAGGTCCTTGGGACTTAACAAAATTCCTTGTTATAACAGGTACCTTGTATTATCAGTAATGGAAAACAAAGAAAAACAGACACTTGGGACCCAACATTTTCCTTGTGATAAGCAAGATGTTGTGTTAAAGCTAGAGTCCATCATTTGCAGCTATCCAAAAAGTAACTGACGTAATTATTGTTGAAAAACACACTTGGTTGAAAGATAGTTAGGGGACTAAACTCCCTGTGAAATTATTCTTTCTGGCAAGCTGTCATTTTAAAGTAATCAACAAAAGAAGGCATTTCCAATGGTGCGTCTTAAGAAGCACCGTTGGAAATTTTCGTTAGTAGTTTTTGTTTTTTAAGCGGCGAAGCGCGCGCAAGCGTTGATACGACGCACACGCGCGCGTGGTTGCTTTAATTCGTCGGATCAGTGCGTGACATCGCGTAGATGCAATCGTCTCAGTGAGAACGTGTCTTGGACGCTGAATTCAGGCCCAATTAAAAACATGATTCAGCAACTTTTGATTTGAAATCGAGATCCTAGCATGATGTTTTTCTCCAAATATACAGCTGAAGCTGAGCTGAAACTTCATCAGGTTAGTTGTTCAGCGCCCTTCTTTAGATTTTGAGCACGATTGTTGCTTCGAACGAACAAAATGCACAAATTACAAATGATGGACTATACCTTTAACAGTGCTCTTCTTATCACGGTTCAACTGTCTTCAGTCGCACTGGCCATTCTTGCTGAATACCTTGAATATATGAGAGAATTTTTTCTTGCTCTTGATGTAGTATGGAATTGCATTAAAGGGACACTGCGTCCTGAAATACGCCCAATTGGGCTACAAAACGCATTTTGAACAAAAGGGTGTTACTTGGAAAGAACATTTAAAAGTAGGATATAAACATCCACACAACTATCCTTTAAAAAATGGGCGCTTTTATAGTACTCGTGTGTTAAAGGAAAAATACAACATTTGCAAACATCAAAAAATAAAACTACCAAATCATTTTGAAATACCTTGCTGGACTGTTAGTGAATGACAGTGTAAAGCATCCTGTAAAATCATGGCATGGTATTTTTGTATCAATTTCCAACGCTGATCGGCCGACCAGCGTTGGAAAAAACTGGCTTTTTTTCAAATACTGGCCCCAGTTGACCATCGCACTTGTTTGCAATCGATTACACACCTATGAACGGGTACAAGCCAGCTAGACTGGTTCCCTGACCTTACAATTCCCCAATGTATGTAAACTGCTCTGTTTCTTCTTAAATGGAGTCAGGGAACCAGACTACAGGAAAATGATTGTTTTTCTTGGTTTTTATAGCATTTTTGAACCCAAAACCTCAAAAAAGTCAGTGTAACTATATTTGCTATATATTTCCAACCCCCCAATTCCATCCATTTCTGAAAATTACAGCAAAAGCAAATGATGTATATTCCCTTTAATCGTGCGAGAACGACTTTCAGGGTCCACTTTTGCGACCCCAAAAAGTCGGGCTGTTCGTGCTAGTTGTGATTCCAGCCGTAAGGGTTTGCCTTTTGGGAACGTGTAAGAAATCACACTCTGTGCATTGGTGATTGGTCGTCGCTGTTCATGAGCACGGTGCTGTGTACGTGTGTAATACTAGACACACACAACGTATATCGTACATTCAATGGAAACGACACGAAACACATACCATACTCCGTCGTGTCCGATGTAAACAATCAGGGTCTTTTCGTCTTTTCTCAGGAACGGAAAGGTTGGTTTTCTTTCCACCAGATGTTAGAAATATGATAAGCAAACAATCCAAAACATTAAATTTTCTGGGATTTTAGGACGCAGTGCCCCTTTAATTGGAAGGAATTTACACAATGTTCTTGTATAGCAAAGTTGGTATATTGGCTAATCTGTGAATACATTTTGCTCATTTTTGTTTGATATTCTGGTTGATTTGATTTGATTAGAATGGAAGGAGAAGGTGATTTCACAGACACCGATCACCAAGTCTGGGTTGGAACATTCCGCTACAAGGCTGCACCAGGACTCAAGTTTAAATTAGGGGTTGCATGAGGAGATGCCTGTTGGAGGATGGGTTTGGGGGGAGGAGGGGGGGGGGGGCGGGGGAACTTCTCATTTCAAAAGTGACCCTGGCCCTCAGTATTCATGTCTGAGCAGGCTTGATCAGAAAATTTGCGAAGGAAAAACAAACGGCATTAACATGCATTAACGTAAAATAACTTGCATTTTTCTGTAAAATGGCCGATATTTCTTGGGCCAAAAAAAAAAATTATTTGGTCTCTGGTCAGACCAATGTTCCGGAATTGACGCGTTTTTTTTTTTCTTTTTCTTCAACCTTGGATTGTACAGACAAGGTGAAGTACTATTTTGCTTTTTTGGTGTCCTCATGTACATGTACATTGGTGTCCTCCATAATTTGCCTTGGTGCAATTTCCCATTCCTTGGTGCTCTTTGGTAAAAAAAATTGAGGAGGTGCAGCAATAGAGGGCGCTGTTGGAGATACCGCAGAACATTTTGAAAAAAAAAAAAAAAAAAAAGCGCATGATTAAAATCAACGCGCGCGCTGACCAGAGACCGACTTGTTTTTTTTTTGGCCTTACTTAGAGCTTTATTTTCAACACCGTTTCCAACATATACCACCAAAATCTTGTAGTTCGGAAATATCTTAAAACAATTTCAACATTTCTCTTCAATTTGGAGAAATCTGCCTCTGAAAAAGTGTAAAATTCTTTTGGACCACCCTGTAGAGTCTTATAAGGTCCTCTCTTGTAAATATTCGGTATGAATCTAGTTAGTGCTGATATTTCACAACTGTTGTAAATTTATTGATGTTTGAATAATGAGAGATACAATAAAGCAAGATCGATTCTGTCGACTGTTGTGTTTCCAAATGTATCACCAGGCCGTCATGACCTTTTGTGTATTTTTTTTTTTTTTTTTTAAATGTTTGCAGTCAATTTGAGCTCTTGCTTCCTATAAATATCAAAACATGGCAAAAAAGCTATCAATATATACATGCTTTGTTTATTCGAATGAATAGGATTTAAAAAAAAAAGTTTTTAGTTTGAGGGGTATCTACATTGTAGATGTCCGTGGGTCGAAATCGGATTCTGTGTTTCATAAGGCCAAAAAAAAGTCTCCGGTTTCTGGCATGGAGCTTACCCAAAAAGTGGTGTGGCGACGCGGCTTTTTTTTTTGTTTTACCTGATTTTTTTGCTTCAAATGTCGGCTGATGACTGCAAATGGTGCCCGACTAAACTTAGTGCAAATATATGGGAGTCCAGAGAGGCCACATCAAGCTTATTCTCGACCATAACCCCATCTAAAAACACGTTAAAATTGTGCAGCAGCAGGATTCCAGTCAAACCAGTGAGTTTGGCGGTTTTGAGACATCATCTTTCATTGAAAAATTTTTTTTTTTCATTTTGCCGACGCGCATGGCTACGGCGATGCGCGCGCATACCAGAAACCGGAGACTTTTTTTTTGGCCTAAGCTCCGTTCAAAGGTATTTTTATAATTGGGATTTTTTTTTTTTACATTTAAGAACAGATTTTACAGAAAAAAACGCTCATTTATCAAATCCTGACAAGTTGTTTATTTGATTGGTTCCACAAGTTTAAGCCAACCAGAGTTGACAAACAGCGCCCTCTATTGGTCAAAGTAGTTGACTCACTGAACAGACCGGTGGTAAATCCCCATACTTAAAAATTCTTTTTAAAATACTCGGAACTCTCACAGGTATTAAGGCTGCACAGAAAAATGATGATCAACATGTCATCTTTCTTTTTCTTTTCAATTTTGGGTAGCTTGACCATTGACTTTTTGGAGAAATTCTCACCCAAAGACTTCCCCTAAAAAAACCCAATGCTTCCAAAACTGGAAAGGTAGCCATTTTGTAAAAGGGATCCCTCCACAACATGGCTAAATAGCGCCACTTTCCGACCCAATTGCATCCAAAATGCTCAGAATTGGAAGCCCCAAGTCCAGGCCAGAGGTACAGTGCCATAATGTCTTCAATTCCCTAATTCCATGGCTAAAAAAAGAGTACATTTATTCATGAGCTCGGCGGACAGATTTTTATGCCTATTCACTGAGGTGTACCCTGAACTTCACAATGTTGCCTTACAGGGTCTGGTGTCACGTCTTCTTCATGGTTAGGATGTGTATATCCTCACTGCGATAGACTGGATCCTGCTGGTCAAGTGGCACTTCTTCCACAATGAAGTCTTCATGAACAAGCTGCTCAAAATAGAACAATAAATAAACAGTTTTGAATTTTTTTTGTCTTTTTTTTGGAAATGATATTAAAAGCTAGTTGATAAGCAGCTCAAATGTTTGTTGAAGAATTTTCGCTAATTTATTCAGGCTGGGCCACTTTAATACATCTATATAAAATGTTACGCAAAACTTGTATTGTGTGACTGAGCTTTTTTAGATATCAAAACAATTCACTTAAAAACAAAGTACAATTGTTGCTGCTCAAAATATAACAATAAATAAACAGTTTCAATTTTTTTTTGGAAATGATATTAAAAGCTAGTTGATAAGCAGCTCAAATGTTTGTTGAAGATTTTTTGCTAATTTATTCAGGCTAGGCCACACATCTATACAAAATGTTACTCAAAACTTGTATTGTGTGACTGAGTTTTTTTTAGGTATAAAAACAATTTACTTCAAAACAAAGTACAAACATGCTGCTCAAAATATAACAATAAATAAACATGTTCGAATTTTTCCTCTTTTTTTGTTTTGGAAATGATAATAGCTAGTTGATAAGCAGCTCAAATGTTTGTTGAAGAATTTTCGCTAATGTATTCAGACTAGCCCACTTTAATACATCTATACAAAATGTTACTCAAAACTTGTATTGTGTGACTGAGTTTTTTTTAGGTATCAAAACAATTTACTTCAAAACAAAGTACAAACATGCTGCTCAAAATATAACAATAAATAAACTTTTCAATTTTTTTTTTGGAAATGATATTAAAAGCTAGTTGAAAAGCAGCGCAAATATTTGTAGAAGAATTTTCGCTAATTTATTTAGGCTAGGCCACTTTAATACATCTATACAAAATGTTACTCAAAACTTGTATTGTGTGACTGAGGTTTTTGTTTAGGTATCAAAACAATTCACTTAAAAACAAAGTACAATTGTTGCTGCTCAAAATAAAACAATAAATAAACATTTTCAATTTTTTTTGTTTTTGGAAATGATATTAAAAGCTAGTTGATAAGCAGCTCAAATGTTTGTTGAAGAATTTTCGCTAAATTATTCAGGCTGGGCCACTTTAATACATCTATATAAATAGTTACTCAAAAATTGTTTGACAGAGTTTTTTTTTTAAGGTATCCAAACAATTTACTTCAAAACAAAGCACAATTTTTTTTAGGAGAGCTCAATTCTGAATTATGCAGCAAGCCAAAATTATTTTTTGTTCATTTTTGAGCAGAAAATGCAAGAATATTTCTCACCCACCTTCAAGAATCTGTCGAGAGATTTCAGATTTTGACCGATGGTTCTCTCCTCGTAGCTACAAAGAATCTCCGTCTCTGGACCACTGAGATCATTTAATGTCTTTACAAGGTCATCAACAGCCTATCATAATCAAATAAAATGACAGAAATCGAATTCAAACGAACAACATTTAAAACCTTTTACAAACAATATCGAGGGCTGATCGTGGTATTTGTGTCACGTTTTCAGGCCAAGGCTAACATAGTACAAACGCAATGTGAATCGTCAACAAAATAAATTCATCATTAAAGGGAAGATACAACATTTGCAAACATTACAAAACGAAATGATCAAATTATCACAAAATACCTTGCGGGATCGTTAGGGATTGACAGTCTAAAGCATCCTGTAAAATCGTGGCTCCTGGTGTGCTGACAGTTTCAAGAAAAATTGTATTTTTCCAACGCTGGTCGGCCGACCAGCGTTGAAGAAAACTGTTTTTTTTTTCAAAACTGCTCCTAATTTTTCATAATTAGTTATTCCGTGTTTTCTTTGCAATTGATTACACAACTGTGAAGGGGTACAAGCCTACTAGACTGACTCTCTGATCTTACAATTCCCCAAAGTCTATAAATTCTCCGTTTCATCTTAAGTGGGGTCAGGGAACCAGACTACAAGAACATGAATGGTTTTCTTGGTTTTTCCAACATCTACAAGCCCAAAACGTGAAACAAGTCATTTTAACAATATTTGCTATAACATACTAATCCTCCAAATCCATTTATTTCTGAAAATTGCAGCAAAAGCAAATGTTGTATATTCCCTTTAAAGGGAATATACAGCATTTGCTTTTGCTGTAATTTTCAGAAATGATGGATTTGGGGGATTAGTATTTTGTAGCAAATAGTGTTACACTAGCTGACTTACTTGAAGTTTTGTATTTGTAGATGCTGGGGAAAAAAAACAAGAAAAAAAATCAAGTTGTTGTAGTCTGGTTCTCTGACCCCACAGTTGTAGACATCAGGGAATTGTAAGGTCAGGGAACTAGTCTAAAAGGTTTGTATCACTTCATATATGAATTTGATTGCAAAGAAAATTCAGACTATGGTAAATTGGGGACAGTTTAAAAAAAAAAAGGCAGGTTTTTTTCCAATGCTGGTCGGCTGACAAGCGTTGGATATTGATACAAAATACCACTTTTCTTAAAAAATGTCAGCACACCAGGTGCCATGATTTTACAGGTTGCTTTAGACTGTCATTCACTAACAGTCCAGTAAGGTATTTCATAATAATTAGGTACATGTAGTTTTGTTTTTTGATGTTTGCAAATGTTGTATATATTCCCTTTAAACCTCGATTACAAAAATGATCAGCACATTTTGACTGTTGTTCCTTTGGGAAGCTGGGGGGTTTTTTTGGCAAGGGAAACGGGAGGGAATGTTTCAATGAGATGAAATTTTGAGAACGTACATCTAAATAGTAGACACAGTCTGACATCAGAATGAAATCTGGAGGAGGCATAAAGTCTGCCACCGAAGCACCCCTGCAGGTGTATAAGTGAGAAAGGCGACCAAATTTAAAAACACAAATACATGAAAACTTTAAGAGTTTTCTACAATAAATTTGGTTTAAGAGGGCCGCGAAAATTTTTAATTTCACCAAAAAACTTCATGACCCAAAACCTGTTCAAATATGACTTGTGGCAAATGTTTGACTAGGTTTGTCAATTAATTATTTTTGCATCTGAAGCAGAGCCGTGAAATTAGGCCCTGTTGACTTGTGATTGAGGACTGGGCCGGCCAATTTCTGGGCTCTGCTTATACCGTTAGCGAAAAAACCTTGCTTACTACAGCAGAAAATTCTGTGCTTACGGTAAGCATATTTCACAGATTTGCGAGGAATTTGCGCACATCCTGTAACTAAGGATTCTGTGCTTACAGGGTTAGCACAGAATTGTTCTGCTAGCACCGTTAGCACAAAAGGGTGATCGTAGCGCAGAAGAAGCGCAGAATTCTGTGGTTAGCAGGGCCATGAAATAAGCCATTTGCGAGTAACCTATACCTTTTGGGATTTACATTTGAAAAACATCTGGTACACTGACTTGCTCAGAATGCTTGGCACATTTAAACTTTGACTTATCCAGACCAAAGACACTGTTGCTAATCACATGATTCGGGGCAAGCTCTTGCATAGTTACGTAAGAGACGCTCAGCACCAATACATCACTCACAATGGGTGAGAATGGCACAAAGACACCAGACCATGCCGGAGCTGGGTGTTGCTAGCATAAGGCTTGCCCTGAATCACGTGATACACTAACAGTCTCTTTGGTCGGGAGAATGCAAAGTTAAAACGTGCAAAGCATTGCATTAATTAGTCAGCGTTCCAGATTTTATTTAAATTTAACTCGCAAAAATGGCTTATTGGGCCCTGATGTTCAGTCGAAACTTTTAAAGGGGCAAACCATTTGAGTGTCTTGGCCGTCACGGTCCCTTTAACGTGACTTTTGTTGGTATCGATGTTCAGCTGCATCAGGGGGAGGAAGTCCTCAAGATCGGTAACTGTCACATCAGCTCTGAAAATAAAAGTTCAAGAGAAAAATCAAGGAGCAAGTTGAGCAAGAACTGGGATAGATAAGACAAAATTAATGTTGGGAAAGAATGCCATACCTGGACATCACTTGACACCCTGTGCACAAACCCTATGAGACTTGTCTGAAAAATTCCAAGTGTTTTCTCAGTAAACGCTTCGAGATTTTCCCTGCTAAATTTGACTTTTTAGGACATGTTATTGCTTTCTGATGGTTGATAGGTCAGTGCAGGGCAAAATAAGTGATGGTTATGTATGGAATTCTTTCCGTACTGTGATTGGTTGGATCACATATTTTGTTCTTTGTGTCGGTTTTCAGATTTTAGAGGGGTGGTCAAGAATAGCATAGGAACAGGTTATGCTCACTTTGTCCCTCAGCATGCCACATTACATTAATATGTTTTTGTCTTCAAGTGAATAAATGTGTAAGATGTGATTTTAATTTCAGCCTTCATACTTATTTATGTTTATTATATTTAGTTTCTACTTGATGTATTTAGCAATTTTTAAGCAATCAGATTAAACTTGAACATGTTGACATGTTTTTTCATTATCCTAAATTTCAAAAGATTATTTGAAAAAAGCTTTACCCTCGTAGACTTGCTGCTAGTCCTACAGCTCCTGTCCCAGCTCCTAGTTCAATCACACGTTTCTGCTCCAAATTCCCACGGTTTGACCTGAACGAGTCTGATTCCAGGAATTTCAACAGGACAAGAGCAGCGTCCCACACAACGCATCCTACGTCTCCCTGGTAACATTGCTTGATGGTCAGTTCTTGTCCGCTGAATTCCAGGACGCGATCGAAGTATTTGGGAGGCTCAACCATTTCTATCGACGTGGGTCAATTCAGTTGATTGTCAACAGACCGACAGGATCAGTTCACGGAGCACGATGAGTTTTTATCAGAGCGGCTGCATCTCAGATGAAGAAGTTCATGGGTTCTAGACTTGGCTATGAATCTGTAACAGAATTATTTAAGCATGTTAAGTGAATCTCATGTTATCATTAAATCATGAATCACGTAACTGCCAACTTTGAAGGCTAAAACTTCATTAATCCCTAACCGCCCTGAATCCTTTAAAATCCTCTTTACCAAAGTACTGGAATTTTGAGGATTGAGGTAACATGGCAAAAGTGCGTTACTGATTTCGTAGTATGCACTTTGTCAAGTCTTGGACCGGACCTTGTGGTGTTTTTGCTCAGCCATGCATAAATATAGGCCTGGATTATGCTTGAAATCCTCCGTACTGCTCCAGAATGTCACTGGCCAAGCCTCAACATATATTGACAGTCACTGCCGCAGTATTTTGTAGGATTCAGGCAGTGGTCACCCCTTCACGGACCATATTCAAGAAATAATGGAGGAATTTGCAGGATTGAGGCAACATCCTAGCAAAAAGGCCTTGACCCCAACTCCCAAGCATAATTTACTAGGAACCATACCCATCCTGGCAAATTCCGACACCCACATGGGAAACCGTACATATTGGACTTAGTTTCTGGAGATATGCCAAACCCAATGTAAAAGACCATCTGTTAAGGGGTACTGTACCTATCTTAACAGATTTCAACAAAACCTGCTGTTGTTGGGCTTTGATATGGGCCGAGTTCGGTTAGGGTTAACAGGTTTAACCTCACATTTACGTAGTGGCTATCGTTACCATGGCTATGGCAGCCATAACAAAAGGTTCAACTAACTACTATATCTATATCAAATTAACACATTTCTACCCGTCCATCGACTCGGATGCATCAAGAACGCTTCAGTAGGTCGATTCGTTACAAGTTCATGACGTTATAGACTACCGTTCCGGGTATGCAGGTTCGAACCTGCTGCTGCGCTGCTCTTTTTTTTTGGTTTTTATAAAATAATTTTCTGTACTTTCATGTTTTTAATCAAATCGTTCGACTTTATTTTCTTCTTCGTAATCCATATGGCTTTGGAAGATTTTTTTTTAAAAAGGGAAAGAACCATTCGGTTGATAGTTTGGTTCCACTTCCAACAGCCAAAGATCCTGACGTTGAATACTATTCTTAGGTCAGTGAAATCCGTAACGATAGCTGTTCAAAATCATGTTACGGTTGTCGTAACGATGAGCCACTGCGTTAACTTAATATGTTAATTACTGGGGCAGGCCTTCATAAATTATCTTTCTTCTTTAAATATCCTTTAACAAATTAACAAAGACAAACCCTCATACAGAGAACAAGTAACACAAGCTTTGTGTTCGAAATTTCTGAAAAATTAATTGCAAAAATGGTTCAAATGGAAATATATCGCCAAATTTTGGCAAACTGCCCCAAAATTCATTGGAAAGATTCCCATATCTGGCCATCACTAATTTTTCCCTTCAGTGACTTATCAACCATCAGAAAGTGATAATAATAGGCCTATGCCCTAAACTGTAAAACTGAGCTGGGAAAATATTGAAGTATTTACTGAGAAAACACTTGACTTTAAATTTAATAGAAGTTATTTTCAGCTGTTCAGACCAGTCTCATAATACGGTTTGTGCACAGGTGCTGGCCAGAAATGTGAATCTTTCCTTTATTTACATGATTTATGATTCATGAATTACATAAATTTCGCTTGAGCTGATAATGACTCATTTTGAAGGTCAGCAAAGACGTTGGAATAATCACCACGAAATTGCATTCGAAAATTCTATACCCCGCAAGATTTGAGACCAAAAATTTTTGCACTATGTGCGTGTAGATACACTACACCCTACATCAATAAAGCGCCCTCACAAGGCAGCAGGGATGAAGCTAGATTGATCACGGACAACCTGCTTATGACGTGACATATCTTTAATATGGAAGCATGCGCATCGGTCATGAACATGTAATTCCAGAACACACAGTTCAATATCCAATCGTGTACCCTCCCTTACGGTCACATGCACACAAAAAGATATACACTGTCTACACAGTGCTAAAGAGGTCTACAGCATCTACACAGTGGTTAAGAGGTCTACAGCATCTACACAGTGGTTAAGAGGTCTACAGCATCTACACAGTGGTTAAGAGGTCTACAGCATCTACACAGTGGTTAAGAGGTCTACAGCATCTACACAGTGCTTAAGAGGTCTACAGCATATGGTATCCGGTCAACTCGGACCCAAATCAACTAAACTCATGCCAACTCAGACCCACGCCAACTCGGACCCACGCAAACTCGGACCCACTACCAATTCAGACCACTACCATTTCGGACCCACGGCCAACTTTGAACCACTACCAAATCGGAACCACTACCCTTTCGGACCCAAGCACGACCAATTCTGACGATGATTCAATCATTAGTTTCATGGATTATAGGTCATCTTACAGTGTCGGATGTATTCTGTATTATATTCGGCTTTTTTTGTTTTCTTTTGCCGTCGCTGAGCGGTACTTTATGATGTGCATGGAAGTTGTTGCTAAACGCTTATCGTTTTGAACGTCATGAAACTCAACGTGCTTAGCTTTTCGACACCGTGACTTAACCATGGCGGGAATATCTGTATATGAAGCTAAACCAAGAGATGTGTACATGTACATGTAAAGCAGGTTAGGCCCAAAGATTAGGCCTACCATATATCATTTTGTACAGGCTGGTATATATGTTTTAAGGAGCGTCCCGCCAAAGTTGAAATTAATTAGTTGATTTACTTGTCATGGGCTGTTTTTGTTGTGTGATGATTCATTGGAAAGCTCATTACTAAAAATTATCAACTTAATTTGAAAATGTTTGTTCAAGGTGCTTCACCCAACAAAACATGTATACATGTACACCAACTTTAAATCCCTTTAAAGCCTGGTTCCTTACAAAATGGTAACCTTAAGCCTGTTGAAGCAAAACATTATGTAACTGTAATCGATTAAGAGCACAAAATCATATTTTTCGTTGTGACTGTTGGTCCGCCATGTTGGGGTATTTAATTTTGACTAGGCGTTTGTAATTAAGTTCGATGTTTGAAGACACTGCCGCGCTTATGCCATGCTAACGTAATTCTAAATCAATTTTATTCGACACGGCATAAGCACATTTGAAAGAGGCCTTACCAAATTGTTTATATTTTTGATCTGTGATGAACGGTAACCTGCTCGCATCCAATTACAGATGTGCACAATGTAGACCTACATTGTACATATATCTTTGATATACGATCACTACGACGAACGGTAACCTACACATTTGTTGTTATTTTAGGATGTGAAACAAATGGCAACCAAACAGTATTATTTATGTACTACGAGGCAGTGAACATGTTTCAGTGAGGTCAGAGGATGTTTTTCATTTGAAATCACTATTTAGGCAAAAAAGTAATTGACTATTTTTTTTTATTCACATGCTTACTTTGATTGTTGTTCTTTTAACTGATTTGTTTAACTTTTTATACTTTTATATAGATTCATATGGAACCTTCGTTTTTCTTATAAAGTGTATGCAATGGTGTTGATGTATCTTTTAAATCAAACGTTTTTTTATTTTTTTCATATTTTTTTGGCACTTGGAAATGGCAAGTTTCGTTTATTCAAACTGTAAGGTAGTTTTATAGTTATTTATATTATTTGTTACCCATCTAGGCTGTTAATTTCATATTCAAAATATGCTGACTTTTGTGGGTGTTTTGAAGTTGCTTATAGTTTAGATCCGTGAATGGTTTATATCTTATATTTTATTTATTGACTTTAGTTTTATCCAGTATTATATACAAATGAATAATGTTTTGTTTGCAAGTATTTATATTTCAATGTTCATGCTTTCCGATTTTATTTTTCTATGAAGATCTGTGCTGGATGTGTTAATTTCGTTACGTATAAAGTTTGGATTGAAAATGAAATAACATGAGAAAAATGGCATGAACGATATCACTTAACATGTGTTAATTTTAAAAAAAAAATTAATAAATAATAAAATACAATTTTAGTAAAAGTTTTACTAGAGTTATCGCATTACAATTACGATGAAAAATTATACTAAACAGCATCACTGTAACACATGTAACTTGAACGGAATGGGGAATGTTTGAAAACGTGCATAATGAGTCCGAGTTGGTTGTGGGTCCGATTTGGTAGTGGGTCCGAATTGGCATGGGTCCGAGTTGGCTTGGGTCCGATACGTGCACAGTGCTAAAGAGATGTTGAAGACCCCTTTAGCATTATGTAGATAGTGTAGACCTCTTTAGCACTGTGTAGATGCTGTAGATCTATTTAGCACTGTGTAGAGAGTGTAGACCTCTTAACCACTGTGTAGATGCTGTAGACTTCTTAACCACTGTGTAGATGCTGTAGACCTCTTAACCACTGTGTAGATGCTGTAGACCTCTTAACCACTGTGTAGATGCTGTAGACTTCTTAACCACTGTGTAGATGCTGTAGGCCTCTTAACCACTGTGTAGATGCTGTAGACCTCTTAACCACTGTGTAGATGCTGTAGACCTCTTAACCACTGTGTAGATGCTGTAGACTTCTTAACCACTGTGTAGATGCTGTAGGCCTCTTAACCACTGTGTAGATGCTGTAGACCTCTTAACCACTGTGTAGATGCTGTAGACCTCTTAACCACTGTGTAGATGCTGTAGACCTCTTTAGCACTGTGTAGATGCTGTAGACTTCTTAACCACTGTGTAGATGTTGTAGACCTCTTAACCACTGTGTAGATGCTGTAGACCTCTTAACCACTGTGTAGATGATGTAGACCTCCTTAGCACTGTGTCTATGCTGTAGACCTCTTAACCACTGTGTAGATGCTGTAGACCTCTTTAGCACTGTGTAGATGCTGTAGACTTCTTAACCACTGTGTAGATGTTGTAGACCTCTTAACCACTGTGTAGATGATGTAGACCTCTTAACCACTGTGTAGATGATGTAGACCTCCTTAGCACTGTGTCTATGCTGTAGACATCAAAGCTCTGGCACTGTGGCAGAAACTAGTTCCAATCATGGAGCTGTGTTTTAAAGCTCCATGTTCCCATTAATATTATATTGAGGGGTGTTTCGCATGCTCAGTATGTGTAGCGTGTAGTGTATCTACACGACGTGCGGTCTGTGAAAAGTGTGTAGCGTGTAGTGTATCTACATGACGTACGGTCTGTGAACCTGGTCTCAAATGTTGCATCATATGTAAAATTCAATCCCATGATGAATCACATGACGTGGGTGCGGTGACCGGGCGATGACCGTACGCACACAACAAACACACACATGGCCTGATCATTTTCCCTAGACATAGAGATCACTCATAGCTTTGATTGGTTATCCCCATTCAAGGTCAAAGTTGAACAAGTTTTACATAATACATTTTCGGTGTCAAAAACACTGTAAAGGAGTTACTCCATGCGGAATGAATCCAAACAAAATTTGTTGTACAAAGTTATCAATTGTGAAAATAAATATGTGATTTGTGTTTTATTATTGTCTTATTAATTTTTTTTGAACGTTTGTTGTAACGGCTAAGTTTTGGGAGCAATTCCTGTTTTTAGTATTGAATGACAGGTTGATTATGTCTTGCCTCTCGACTTCTTGTGCATTAAACACAGCGAACTTGTGTAAAACAGTCTACTTATAATATAAAACTTGCGTTTTGCAATATTTCCGATTCGACGAACTCCACACCCCCGCGCGAGATTCCCATCAAAAACTCTGATTTGGAACATTTTGTAACTCACCAGTACTTGATTCTTCAAAGATCTGAAAGCCAGAACAAAGTTTAGGACAAATCGGGAAGAAGAAAGTAGTTACCGTGGGTTTTTCCGCAACCATTTGTGGCAGAAATGGAGGGACTGCGAGCGTTGTTGCCGTCGGTAGCCGCCTTGTTGCTGATTGCTACGCCGTTTGTGCAGGTAGGTTAATTCATTGCGTACGGCCGGGTAGGCCCCCCAAATTTGGCCTACCCGGCCGTACATTGTCATTGCATTGTAATACTGTCATAACCCCCAGTTGATTGTATTTTAGGAAAGAATGTTGCAACCTGACGCACTTAACTCAGGTTATCATCTCAATTTTAAAGCATGCATGGGGCGTAAACTAAAGAAAGACATCGCAAAAATGTTGAAAAGACTGGGCCAGCATAGGGTAGGGAGTAAAATATAAAATTTGTATTAATTATTGTCATCTGTATAAACATACATTGAAATTTAGTATGGTCTTGCGAGCATTAAAAATTAATTCTAGTATGTATAACAATTAATAAATAAAAGGAATAAATAATAAATAAATAATAAACGGCGCATAAGCATGATAAGAACAATGCTTAAGTCTTCAGAACAAACTTATGTTCATGATGTTGCCATTAATTTGAAAAAACAAGATAACGATAAGATAAGATTACCCCCCCCCCAAAAAAAAACCCAGCGAAACGACCCTTCTATTTCTAAATTTATATCTGAAACTAGAATGCATTTTTTTTAATCAACCGTTTCTGCCATTTTTGTGCATAAAATATAACATTTTAAGAAACCGTTGTCATGGTTGTGTGATTAAAAGATCCAAAATTGTATTCATGCCATTTATTACCCCCGTGAGCACCGTGATTTGGGTGTAATATTTGATGAAAATTCCGAACGATCGAAGCCATTCACTGTTCATCGGGCCATGGCGGCTCTCTCAGTTTGACGTCACAGTCATTGTGCGGATAACTCACGAGATATAACGGGGGTTCGGAAAGATAATGTCATCATCTTACCACAACGAATGGCACAAATTGCTCATTATTTTGATGTATGACACGGTATATTTTGCATGTATAAAATGGGGTTTATATGTAGATGCAAGCTTGGACTTTCAGGAGGACTAGACAGTTGGGTTTTTTTTCAAAAAATAATCTAGACTCCCTTTGAATCCCTGGACCGGTGGGCACTGTGCGGTTGCTGGTAAAATATGAAGCACCAAAAATAATAATGACTGGAAAGCCAATTTTATAAGCTACTTTAAGATGCAAAAAATACTGCAAACTCAATCCATTCAAAGAATATCACCATTTAAAGGCAATGACCCTAAAACCTGTCTCGTCCCAAAAAAGCAATTTAATGTGTGTTTTGACTGTTTGGAACAACAAAGAAAATAACACAGAATACTTGTTTCAACAACTGTCAACTGTAGTACACAATATCTTTATTAACAACCCTGGTTAGGCAAATAATATGATTGATAAAATCCACTTTTTTTTTTTAAAAGACAGGCCTTCAAAAGGACTTTGTTGAATAGTTTTCACTTTTAAACAGAGGTCTTATCGCTGGTGATGTTTGAAGACAATTGTGACGACGATTCTTGAAATCGCATTTTTTGGATGAGACAGGTTTTAGGGTCATTGTGTTTAAATGGTGATATTCTTTGAATGGATTGAGCAATTTCGGTAATTTTTTTCATCGAAAAGTAGCTTATGAAATTGGCTTTTCAGTCATTATTATTTTTGGTGCTATATCATGCATGTCATGTATATATTTCTTTAACCCTAACCATGCTAACTCCCTAGGCCTTTTTGCTAGGAGCATAAACAACACAAGGTCCGGCCCAAGACCTTGACACAGTGTGTCCTCTGAAATCAGCAACGCACTTTTGCCATTGTAACCTCAATCCTGCAAATTCCTCCAATTTGCAAAATGGATTTTGGAGGATTTGGGATGGTTAGGGGTAAGCCTGTTCGATATCCATTTATTTTTAAATCGGCAAATCGTGAAAAAATATCGGATATCGCGATATTATCGTGATGACGTCATTTTTCCATTCATGGAACAAGGGAATAAAAAAAAATTTAAAAAAATAAAAAAAACACAACCGAAGTCACGATCCAGTGCCGCGAAAAAGACCCAATATGTCCTGAACAAAATCGTCAATTTTATTTGACTAGAGTCTCATTTACTTTGCCAATTTAGGTAGAAAACAAATTCCACATTCAAACATCGAAAACAAAATTACCTTGAAATGTTGGATAAAAATGTGCAAATAGAAATCCATATCGAGGAAAGAACGAAGCACTAGCACGCAATTGCACGCCGCATTGACATGATCCCCACGTGCACTCATAGTACAGCCCACACCATTGTGGCAAGGGTGTGCTTCATTGAAAACAATTTACCAGTATTTCCATCTTTTCAGAATTACAAATAATATTTTTTTTAATGGAGTCCGAAATATTTCCTGGTTCAGAAAAAGTTCTTCATTGTTACAAACTAACAAAATATTTTTTTTTCTAAAGATTTTTTTCGAAAAACGATGTTAACTCCAAAATGAGGGTGAAGCACCCCTTTACAAAAATTAATGGATCAGTCCAATTTCTTGTGACGCATTTTCTGTTCTGTGAACGAAATACAAGGCACGACTGAACAATTGGTTTTCGATGTTTTTTGTTGCTGAAAATATGAACAGATTTCATAAGTTTGGGACAGTTTTGGCACTAAGCAAGTGTAAGTGCCCAAGCACAACCACGGAAGAGAAGGAACGAGTCAGGAAAATACGTGCAGGAAAATTTGATCATCTAGTTCGCCTGCGCGAAGTCGGCCCAGCCCAGCGGCGATTTTTTTTTCTCTCCCAAACGCGTACGACATCCGCATATACGCGCAATACGCTATGGCGTTTTGGACTATACTTTTCTAAAAACATGACAAGAAAATCAAAAATATAAATATATGAAATTCGGGCTTTATTTCCCTTTTTAATAAAATCCTCCCAAGCCTCAGGTTAGAAAATAATAATAAAAAAAAATCATATGCAATATCGTGATTCGAACTCGCAACCTCGCAGCATAAAACACAATTTACTATCGACTGAGCTGTCACATTGCTCGCTTCAAAAGTGGAAAACTAATAAATATATAGTGCCCACGTATCATAAAAGTATCATAGAGGGCGCTTAACGTGCGTATGCGGATGTTGTTTTGCTGGAAAAACAAAATTTGCGGGCTCGGCGTGGTCTCCTCTAGCCGCGTGCCAAAACGAAACATTCACTTCTCAACGTCGTAATCTACAATTCAAGCACATGTATTTGTGGTGTTTTGTCTGTACAACTTCACATTTCCGTCAAAACAAAACAGGCACTGTATTTTCTTTGCGAAATGTTGGAGACTTTGTTTCCCTTCTGTTAACTCCACGCACGTGATTACGATTTTGGCACTTGGTATGTGGGGTGAAATTGTGTTGTTTGTACTGCACTACGTGTAGCGTGGAGGACGCAAAATCCAATACACGTGACGTTAGTCAGTTGGTTCCGCCCCTGAATAGGCAAGACCTCGCGGTACATACAATGCGGCAACAGTGAATTTGTGGTTTGCGGTTTTTCATGGGAGCGCTTTAGCGACGGTTTGAAATTGTAAGGGATGGACTTTGGTTACAAAAGCGGTACTTCAAAAGAATATCGCGATATTTTTCGGCATATCGAATTTCACGATGTGCCGATTTTTTTTTATGAGATCGATACGATTTCCGATATGAAAATCTAATCGAAATATCGTGAAACATCGTCATACCGAACAGGCTTGGTTAGGGGTAAATATGAAATATCATTTTTGGGGTTTGGGACTTTGGTTCCACTTGTGTCTTTTCCAGTTTACAAAGTTATTATTTGTTCTCTAAATAGGCCTATTGCCTCATTTTGGTGCAATGTGTATGGACACATTTTGGAAGTCGAAGCCAAAAGAAAATATCAATGTTTTCTTTTTATTGTTTATTTTTAGGCCGATGCGATCCATAAAGAAGGTTACTGCATCATGTACAGGCAGTGTGGAATTCGTGATATCCCCGAGCACAAGTTGAATTGTTACTACAACCAACCAGCCCCTGAGCTGGACGACCCTGAAGGCCTTGAAATCCTGAAGCAGTTGTGTCCCCATCTTGTCAAGGAGAACAAGACCCTCGCCTGCTGCGATGTGGATCAACTGAGAACCTTCCGGAACCAGACTCTCCAGGCGAGGCAGCTGATGAGTCGTTGCCCGTCGTGCCAACGCAACTTCTTGAATCTGTACTGCGCCATGACCTGCGACTCAAGCAACAGTCTGTACGTGGACGTCACCAGTATTAAGCCTCCGTCGCTTCAAGCCGAGGCTGACGACAGTGGAGCCGTGGAAGGTGCCCCCATGAGCGACACGAATTCCCCAAATTTAAGGGACAGTGGGCCTCAGTATAAAACCAACGACAGCATTCTCAGCATTGATTACTTTGTTCAAGACGACTTTGTTTACGGCATGTACGACAGTTGCAAAAATGTGAACTTTCCGAGTTCCAACTCCAAGATCTTTTCGCTCCTCTGCGGTCAGTCCGCTAGTACCTGCACCCCTCAGAAGCTGTTAGACTACATGGGTAACATTAACAATGGACAGACACCGTTCACTATCGATTTCGAGATTGTGGCGAACGCTACAACTGTCCCTACCGACATGGAAGCATATAATACCTCCATTTATCCGTGTAATGAGGCACTGGACGAATTCTCTCAACCCTGTAGCTGTCAGGATTGCACCCCGGCCTGCCCGCCTGTTCCCCCGATCCCCACTCCTCCGCCCCCTTTCCTAATCTTTGGCATGGATGGGATTCTGTTTATCATCATCTGTTCCTATTGTGCCTTTGTGGTCCTGTTCGTTCTTTGTGTTCTGATCGCCATGCTGTTCAAACGAAGGTACCGACAACCCCAGTACAACGAGCTGCCCATCAACGGTGACGTCTACATCAACGGCCATACCCAAGTCTCGGAAAAAGACGTCGGCTGTCGGGAAAGATTCGGGGCCGCTTTCCACAGGAAGCTGTCCGGCCTCTTCCGGTGGTGGGGCACTAAATGCGCTCGCTACCCAATCCTTGTTATTTTCCTGGGTCTTCTGGCAGTCGGAGGGCTCAGCTCCGGCATAGCATTCTTGAAGATCACGACAGATCCTGTTGAGTTGTGGTCGCCTCCAGAAAGCCGCTCTCGTGAAGAGAAGAACTACTTTGATGAGCACTTCGGACCGTTTTATCGCACCGAGCAGGTCATCATTACGGCTCCATCATACAATGTCACATTTTTCCGACCGGCTGGACTGACAACCGGACATAACTACGGCCCTGTCCTGGACAAGCGTGTTCTCATTCAGGTTTGTTGGTATTCAGTAAACAGATGCTTTCACAAAACGTGTAGAATTCAACTTTTGTTGACATGGTTTCAGAGGCATTTTGGTATACGTACATGTACATGTAACAAGCTTGATCGGATCTTGGAAGCTGCGGGCCAATGAATTCATGTTCATGCATGAGTCACGTGATTGTGCCATGTAATTTCTGGAAGGAGAAGTGTTCCGAGTTTTTAACCCCAGTGACCCCATGATGACCTTTGACCCCAGTGTGGTCTTGTGACATGTTGGGGCCGGGCTACTGATACTTTTGACAAAGTTTGGTTGAAATCGGTCAAAATGTGTAGGAGCAGTAGACAATGTCAACTCTTGTTTACTAACTAACTTACAAAACGAACTAACTAACTAAGTAACTAACTACATGTAACTAACGAACGAACGAACGAATGTACGGAGAGACTTGATGATTTTTTGAGCTGCTATCCCGCAGCTAAAAATAAAATTGGTTCCAACTACCAAGCACACTGAATAAACCATTTTTTCCTCCCCATTCACTTTTAAAGGTGCTTGATCTTCAGAATCAAATCACGAACATCACAGCGTTCGACAAGGACACGAATAGAACCATTGGACTTGAAGACATCTGCTTTAAGCCAGAAGCCCCGACCAACACCAACTGTACCATCTTGAGTGTGTTGAACTACTGGCAGAACGACTTTGACAAACTCAACAGTACCATCTTAGATGAAATGGGGTACTTTGTTGCTGCCGACTACCACACGCACTTCTTGGCCTGTACAGCGTAAGTGCACTTTAAATAAAAGAACTTCACATGGTATTGTTACTTACTACATGTATGGGCAAGAACAAAAACATGTTCTCAAAAAAATATTCATAAGTACCTAAGAGAGTTTGCCCAGTCCTATTGGTGGAGAGCCTGTCACGTGGCCGGTTTTAAACGGTTGATAAAGACCGGCTGGCTGGTCTAAAACACTTTTCAGAGTCACATGGAATTTGGACTCCTATGAAATCCGGTCCCTTTTACCCTTTTATTGGATAAACATTCGCAATCTTGGGTTTAAGCATGCTCAATAATACCAATGAGTCCGTATTTCATAGTCCTAAATTCACACTACAATGGCACAGCTGCGTTCTGTGCCACATTGTGCAGTACACGCAACGTGTGTGCCAATCTTCATGTAAGGAGTTGTTTACGATTACTCGCGAGAGGCAAATACCATAGCATAGCCAAAGGAGTGTTTCAAAAATATGAAGTAAACTTGTTGAACAAAATCGTTGGAAATTTATAATTTTTGACTTGTTTTGACTGTTTGACCTTCGGCTCGGGTCATTATCAGCGTCTGGACTCCAAACCGGTCTGAAACATAGTGTTTAAAACTGACCAAGCACACATTTATTCCTTTATTAAAATTGTTTCGTTTTGTTCTCCTCGATTAAAGTGCTCCTGCCTCTATTGATGATGGAACCAAGCAACATTATCCCTGTCTTGGTACCTACGGAGGCCCAATTTTCCCCTGGACCGTTCTCGGCAACTATGACGGTAAGATACAACCTTGAACCGGACTAAACTACCAAACAAAATTGTACTTTTGTGGTATTGATGAAAACTACATGTGCCATGAGTGTATTAGCTCTCCTATGCAAACACACATTCTCTGCCAAGAGGTCCTATCAGTCAAAATCAATCAAGTTACTGTTTTCAGCAGTTAGGAATTGTACATGTAAGAAGAAACATTTCATTTTTTTTAAATTCTGCTACAACCCTAAGGGGGACATTTTTTGGGGACGCCCTGTACATGTACATTTGCAATCATGAAATAAGCCGTCGGTTGTACCACGAACCGACGTATCCCATTTTTTAGGGTGTGTTTTGAGTAAAAACGTTTTAAAGGTGGTAATATTTTTGCAGGCTCATTCCTTTTACTCCCTGTGTAAGAATTCAAACTTTTTTGCTAGTAAATTATAGATTAAACTTTATTGTATGCAATCCGTATGCATCTGAGTTTTAAGAAATTCAGCTCCCAAAATATACGTCACTTTGTGAAACAGATTTTTATCATGTTTATCGTATTTCATACATTTCTACAACGCGCGTAATATTATACATGTACATCGGTGCGTGAAATGCTAATTTCACACTTTTCATGTCGATCCTCTTAGGTGACGTCATAGCACTATGGAACTAGCGTGAAAAGCGACGTATTGCAAACAAATCACTTCGTGGTGAACGATTTCAGAGTTTTTAGAAAGACACTGAGAGTCTAATTAGTGTTTTTTTTAGGATGAGCATTTTGATGAAATAAAAACGTTTAGGACAAAAACTCAATTTGGCCAAAAATTGAGATACGCTGGTTTGTGGTGCGATCAACGCATCGTAAAGATGTACATGTACACGTATACATGTGTACATGTATTATTATTATTATTAAATGGTTTATTTTAAAAACATCATATCGCAGCCTCGCGGCCGAATTGCACAATGTTTTACATGATTTACAAATATTGTTAAAAGACAATGCTTACATACAAATAAGAAACACGAAACTATGACACATAACAGTAAAAAACACTTATTGAATATTACATTTAAGGGGAAAAAAATACATAGTCAGCCCTTGAGCTAAAATTATGCTGGGCATAATTAAATATGTGCAGCACATGCATATTGCAGGTAAAGCAGAACAGCTGAAAAAGAGTTGTTAAGAGATACGATACTTGCTGGTACTTCACCAAGGTCAAAAAGTCAAGAATCTCACATGACTACTCTAATCTATAAAAAGTCTTTAAAAATACAAAACATGTTTGTTAACGACACCAAATTGTTTTTTGAGTATTTAAAAACATAAATTCTGTTTGTCAGGATGGGGCCTTTCACAAAGTTTCAGTCATGTCACTTTTGTCAGTAGGTGTTTTGTAAAAAATAATTTTGTGACTTTGAGCTTCTTGATGAAGAAAAACAACCTTTTTGCATCGTTTTTATAAAGTTAAAAAGTTAATTCGGAAAAAAAATTTCCCTCAAAGACCTACTTCTTACCAATTAATTTTTTTCTTTGTGAAAAAAAAGGAACTGCACTTTTTTGAGGTTTTTTGTCAGTGTGGAGAATAACATTGTTTGTTTTTTAACTGGCCATATCTAATTTTTGTCCACGAGACTGCCCATAGTGCAAAGTCCCTTATTGTGACGAACCACAATTCTAGGCCAGGCCGTCCAAAAGTTATGTACGTGACTACGTGCATGATGTACATGTACAAATGTATGATTTGATAAGCATTTTATTAATAGCTCGGTCAACAAAATAAGGGGGTGAAAAGTCCAAGTCAAATCAATAATATCCATATTTGGTCATTATTAATCTCAGATGAGGCAAGTCAGATGACATGTCAGGTGCATTTTCAGTGCTCCTGAAAAACTGATACTGGTGTCTTTGGGGCTATTGCACAACACTTACACGTTGTGTTCAGTTACTGTCTCGTGAGGGGAAAAAATGGCAAAATAGGGTTACATTTTTGTCATCACACATGTATTATACATGAACATGTATTAACAGCCACTTCAATAGAATTTAATAACTAGGGAAACAAATCAAAAGTGGGTTAATGTTGTGTACATGTACTTATTCTGTCGTGTTTGCACATGTATCAATTTTGTATGTGTCTATACACATACATGTACACCCATACACACGTGTACATGTACATGTAACTGCAGTACAGTGTACATTGTACATGTATGTATGTATCTTGGTCATGTTATGGATGTTAAGTGTAGATGAGCATGCATGTATTTAAGAGCAATAACTATGACAGTAAATTGTACGATCAAGTTCAGCTAAGCTATACTTCAACACACACATGTACCGGTACATGTGTATTTCTTCTTTCTTCTTATTTCCACTTTATGACCACAATATTAACCCAACAGTACATGTACGTAAATATACAAACGCAGTTTCAGATGAGCAGACATACTGGTACAGTTTGTCGTGTGCCAAGACCTAAGGCCAAAAAAAATAATACATGTAGTTCTGCTTCCGGTTTCCCTACCTACCCTATTCTGACAGCCCCTACCCTATTTTTTTTTTTATGGGCAAAATGAGAAAAAAAACACCCAAAACCATCAATTTCTAAGTTTTACCCTTGACTTCACGCAGACGCCTCCATATGATTGTACACAAAAAAAATTGGCAAAAATAAAAAAATTCCCTACCTACCTACCCTATTTTAGAATACCATGTAATCGGAAGCAGAATTATTTATTTTTTTTGGCCTAAGCATGTTAGCAGCCCAGGCATGCAAAGAACCCTTTTGGATATTATCAAGTTGTAAGGGGTTTTTTGCCCCCATTTAAAAAAAAAAATCATGTAAGGCTGAAATTTTGACTCACAAATTTGTTAATAATCAAAATAATGTTGTGCATTTTTATTTCGAAGTATTACTTAATTTTGAAGTTATTTACATTTTTATGCTAACGACCTTTTGCCAGGAACTCCCCCTGCCTGAAATGTGCGCTTAAGCGGCATGGTAAATCATAACGGCCTTTTGCCGGAAACAAACTTGGCTTTGCGTACTCTTTTCAGTGGGACGGTAGCGCACTTGGAATGTATTTTGTTACATTATAGTATTACACACTAACGTCCTTTTGCCAGGGTAAAATACTGAAAAACCTCCTTCCGTCTTTTTCCTACTGTTAACATGGTTAATTACGTCAGAATGATGTAGCCCCTCGAGACAATAATGCATATCAAATGAAAGATATTTCCATGCTCTATCGAATAGTCAAAAAATCTGAATTTGACCTTTTGACAATTTTTTTGCCCTAATCACGCACCCCGACGAGATGTGTACATTAACAATTAAGAAATGAAACAATAGGAATTGTGTTTTGACAATTAGGCCCTACCACTTGTGGAGATTGTCTTCAAACCAGGAAGTGGATTGATAATGATAACGGTACATGTTTGCCTGGATATGGTGACAATGTCTTTCTGTTTGACTTCCTGCTTTGCCATCACATTGATAAGAAAAATTAATAAACACATGTACCTTGGAGAGTTGATATTTTCTGACTCGATCAAGTGGGGCTGTATTAACATGGGATGCATGTATAAAGACGGGCTTCAAGAACAAACAAATAAATGTAGAACGGGACGGTCCAATGGTAAGGTGTTTTACTCATGTACGAAGGTGCATGGGTTCGAACCCGGCCAGGAACATGGTGTTTGTGCCCTTGGGCAAGACACTTAAACTTCAATTGCCTCTCTCCACCCAGGAGTATGAATGGGTACCTGTGAGGGTTGAGGACCGATTGAGCGCTGATATCGGCTGCCGCGTGGTCCCATGGCCTGATGAATGGGGTAATAATTGTAAAGCGCTTTGAGATTGTTGATACGATGAAGCGCTATCTAGCACAATTATTATTTTAAATGGCCCCTGAACCAGCATTGATCCAGCATAAAGCCAAATGATTGGCCAAATTAACAACAGTCCTACATGTATGGTAGCTTGTATGTAACATAACCGTGTATGGAACACAGTTGCTGTGCGGGGCGTGTGTTACTGTTTGTACTTGGGATGTTTATGACAAAAGTGTGGATTTGCAATTTTTTTCTGTACACACGTCGCCCACGGACATATAGGAATTTGCTTTTTTTTTAAAAAACCGAGATCTTTGTAATTCTAGACACAAGGAATACATGTACATGTTGATAATAACCACATATTAAATAGACTGGGTATCATGCATTTAAGCTAAAATATGGCCCCTGAACATGCATCACAAAATGTCTGGAAATATCGCAGAAAGAAAATCGCAAATTAGGAGCATTTTAACTGTTTATTTCCTTAAAAAGAATGGGTCACTAGTCACTGTTCTTCCCTAAATGAATATCGCAGTAAATGAAAAAAAAAATGTTTTTTTATGACCTGGTTTTTGCAGGCAGGATAACTGTACAGTTGCCTACCAGCTTTTTTCCCTGGTACACATGTACTGGTACACCCACGTTTGTTTATGGTGTAAATCGAGGATTTTCTATTCTATCGAGGTCGTCCTCAATTCGACGATGATGTTGCACGCACGTGTGTCCTCGATTTACACCATAAACAAACACACCCAAACCTGTGTTCACCGTTGATCGTGGTTGTCCTATTGTCCCTTTTTTGTTTGTACTCTAACTTTTTTGGAAGACTCCCATAGGTTTTGTTCACGACCACAATCGTGGACGTACAATGTATGCTGGGAATCGTGGACGAAATTGTTCTCTTTTGTTCTCATATTTTTCATCCATGGTTTGAAAAGATGAACACATACATGTACGCACAGGCATACATGTGCATGTACATGTAAAAATATCCAAACTGATTGTGTGAACATGTACAAAACACTGGGGACTTGTACAATGTACATTTATGCACATGATTAAAAAAAAGTGTGATCAGAACAGAAACATGATCTGTTTCCATGGATAATTTATGAGTGAAAACCCATTTCCAACAATCACATTATTAATTGCAAATACATTAAGTGTGTACAGTTTTTGAAATTGTTGTATTTTTGTTGTGTTTAACCCTAACCTTCCCAAATCCTCTTTGCAAAAGGCTATATATACATGTATGGCAAAAATGTGTGGCTGATTTTGGAGGACACACTACAGTGTATGTCAAGGTCTTGGGCCAGACCTTGTGTTGTTTATGCTCAGCCGTGCCTAAATTTAGGCCTAGATTATACTTGAAATCCTCTGCACTGCTCCAGGATGTCACTGGCTCTGCCTCAACACATTGACTGTGATTGCTGTAGGATTTTGCAGGATTGAGGCAGTGGTCACCCCTCCAAGGACCCCATTCAAGAAATAACGCAGAATTTTGGAGGATTGAGGCTGTATGCAATTTTTACATTGCAGCAGTCGGAGGCTTTTGCAGGATTGAGGTTGCATCCTAGCAAAAAATCATAATCAATGCAACACTATTGTTGTGGATGGCTTCTACCGGTAAATAGAAAACAATACCATTTTTACCAAACGATCTTGAACCTGATTTTATTCTTGCATTTTGTCCCTGCTAACCCAGATACCTTTTCTCATCAGAAATTCAATTCCTATCTGTCTTTCCAATCAGGCATAGCCTACAACAATGCTACGAGTCTGTCCATTACGTTTCCCGTCAATAACTACAAGGTTGGAGACCCGCGGCTGAAACCTGCTAAACTATGGGAGAAAGAGTTCCTAGAGTTTATGAAGAATTACGACAATCCCAATCTGACCATTGCTTATCAAGCCGAGGTTAGTACGAGTACTTTCCTGTTCAAATTATTTCAAGTTATCATTTTACAAGGGACTATATTAAGGGCAAAAATGTGTCTTCGGGAGGTATTATAACACTCTGTTTAAGACCGCTATGAGTCTGGATGGGTAATTATCACCCATCCAGACTCCCACCGGTCTTAAACAGAGTGTTTAATACCAACCAAACACATATTTATTCCCATTCATAAATACCTTTTCGGTAAAAAAAAAAAATCTTTTCGGTCCAAAAATCAAAACAAGTCAAAAACTAGACGTTGCCAACCATTTTGTTCAACAATTTTACTTCATGTTTTTCGAAACACCCCTCTGACTATAATATGGAATGACCCTCCACAACCATAGATATATGTCCGCAACTCGTTACCTTTTAAGGACATTGGCGTGCGCGTCGCGCGTACTGCGCGATGTCGCGCTAAATGCAGCTGGGTTGGTGTAGTGTGAATTTTGGACCATGAAATACTGATTCACTGGTAGTATTGCGCATGCATACGTGAGGAATGTGAACGTTTAACCAATGAAACGTAAAAGGCACCGGATTTTATGGGAGTCCAAATTTCATGTGACACTGGAAAAGTGTTGAAGACCAGCTAGCCATGTCTTTATCATCCGTTTAAGACCGGCCACTTGACGGGCTCTCGACCAATAGGAATGCGTAAACTGTCTTAGGTATTTATGAATCTTGGTTTAAATAATGAAAATTGAGTGGAGCAAGATTTTAACCTCTGCCCGATGAAATACCATTTCAGTGCACTTCCAACTGAGCTCATCAGCCCGTGTAAAATGCATGTACTTTGTATATGTACTACAGATCGTGTCAAAACAACATGTCCTACTTTTGATCCTTAATAACTCTGTTGTTTACCAATGGAATTAAACCAAAATTTCAGATCATGTAAACAAGGCATGACAAATTTAAATGGAGCAAGTTTCATCAGTTTTGTGCAAGAGGGTGAGATTTAAACGTCATACAAACAAAATACTTACTTTCAGAATGCCGATACAATGCCGAAGACGATGATGGAAGGAGCATGCTGCGGCCGAAGGCTTTTGAAGGAATGCAGGATCACCCCTGATGTCATTGCACTTCTCCTCGCTCGTGCGTTGCGTAAAACGACCGAGGAGGTGTGCAATGACATCATGGGTGATCCTGCATTCCTTCAGAAGCTTTCAGCATCAGCACGCGCCTTCCGCCATCGTCTCCAGCGCTGTATCGACATTGGAGGACGCCAAGTCGAAAGTGGCAGATTCTGAAAGTAAGTATTTTTATCCTATGACGTTTAAATCTCACCCTCTTGCACAAAGCTGATGAAACTCACTCCATGAAATTTGTCATGCCTTGTTTACGTGATCTGAAATTTTGGTTTAATTCCATTGGTAAACAACAGAGTTACTTAGGATAAAAAGTAGGTCATGTTTTTTTTACATGTACTATGTTGGTGGTCACTCAACATGATTTTCAGTTTGATACGGAACAATTTTGAAGAGCTACTTACGTTATTTAGTGGGGAATTTTGACTTTGTTGCAGTTGATACAAATTTGTGCAAAAGGGTGAGGAAATAGGAAACCAGGGATTGGGTGAATTGACGAGTCTTTTAACCACACTTGATTACTTTTTGTTTCCTTGATTACCTTTTGTCATGTTTTCTCCTGTTGTACAGAGGTCCATAGAAGATGAGATTGAACGCGAGAGCTTTTCAGATGTCTTCACGATCGCTGGCAGTTATCTGCTTATGTTTGGATACGTGGCGATTGTTCTCGGCAAATTCCCTTACTACAACATCAAGAGAATCTTTGTAAGTGTGCTTTTACATTTTTTACATATATATGTGAAGCCAGGCCTGCCTGGCTGCACCACAGATCCTACGTTCTATCAGAATCTCTGCTAACTTTGCGTCTTTTCTTCTCAGAGGATTGCAAAACCCGTACTTGTCCAAGTACATGTGGGGCGCTGTGGTCCAATGGTTACAGTGTTCGACTCGTGTGCCGTGGTGCATGGGTTCGAATCCTGACCGTGGGAACATGGTGCTTGTGCTCTTGAGCAAGGCACTTTACCATTATTGCTTCGTCCTTCGGATGGGATGTAAAGCCGTAGGTCCCGTGTGTTGTGTAATGCACGTTAAAGAACCCAGTAACACTTATCGCTAAGAGAAGGGGTTTGCCCCGGTGTTTCTGGCAGTGGCTGCAATGTGCACCGCAGCACCTTGTAAACCATTATAAGGTGCTACATAATGTGTCTCATATTTCTCATAAATTTTATTTACCTTTCTTTAATAATTGACATAATTTCCAGCGCCTTGAGTACTTAATTGTTGGTAGATACGTGCGCTATATAAGACTCCGTTATTATTATTATTATTATGTATGCACGTATCGGTACGTACGTTGTATGGGCATTCATTAACCAAACTGTCGCAAAAACACACGCATAACTAGGTTTCGCTGGCTTCCAAACTCACTTAGTAGCGGGACGCTCCTAATTCAAAAGTTGAAATTAATCAATTCGTTACATATCGTGGGCCAATTTTTTTGTTTGATGTCTCATTGGAAAGCTCATAACCAATCTAATGCTTGAAATTTATCAATTTCATTTGAAATCTATATTCATTTGAAAATCCTTACCCAAAAAATAATGTATTTGCCAACTTCAGTGTCGAATCAAAAAAGGTTCATCTCTGATACAGATTTGCTGAGGTTAAATTCACCTGCGACTATGGTCAGAGAGCTGTGCTGTTATTGTTTACCGATGCCATCCACTCTGTTGTTCTGTTGCAGATTGAATCAAAGATAGTTCTTGGTCTTTGCGGTGTCTTGATTGTCCTGGGCTCCGTCTCATCATCCATCGGTCTGCTGGGTTACCTTCAAGTCAAGGCAACTCTCATCGTCATGGAGGTCGTTCCCTTCCTTGTCCTAGCCGTCGGCGTGGATAATATCTTCATCCTGGTACAGAAATATCAGGTGAGTGGTGGGTCACGTGATTGGAATGGATCCTGTGATTGCTCATGTGACTGATACTGTTCATGCGATTGCAGTTCGGGTGATTCACAATGCAGTGCGCCACCAAGAGTTTGCCACAGATAGTTAAATTTTCCCAGTGCATTGTGGGAGATGGTCGACAAATTCGCACCACGGAACATTTGAAATTGTTAGTTTTTTTTCTGGCCAGTAGTTTCCCAAGCGTATTATTCAAGTATTGTGTTTGCCCTTTTCTTTTCTTATTATTATGGTGTTTTTTGTAAGGCGGCAGAACGCTTTGCCCCAATCCATAACAAACTAGCTCAAGTTGTCTACTGACACTCGTTCAAATGGGCCATGATTTGTCGACTGTAAACTTGAAAACTGAACTCTCCATGGCGAACTCTTGGTGGCGCACTGCATTGTGAATCGCTCAAATTCAGCATGTAATTACAATGGATGATTTGAATACAGTTGGTCGTGTGATGGAAATCTATCATGTGACTGAAACGTGCGATTTAAATTGATTTTTCATTTCCCGTGGATTCTTGTTTTTTTAACCCTAACCACCCAACCCTTCAAAATCCAACTGTATGTTTTGTTGGAATCTGTTGGAATGAGGACTGCACTAGTAAACTGATTATGCTTTACATGGGGTCAGGCATATACCACCATAATCAGAGTCCAACAGTTTGGGTGTAGAGTTTACCATATGGTGTTGGGTTTTGCAAGAGTGAGGACGGTTTGGAGTAAACCACTCAAGGGGTTACGGTTAATGACAAATTTCCTTGTATTTCCTTTCCTACAGAGAGATGTTCGTTTCCCTCATGAGGAGAAGTACGAGCAAGTGGGACGCGTCTTGGGTGAGGTTGCTCCTAGCATGCTGCTGACCAGCCTGTCCGAGTCCGTTGCATTCTTCCTAGGTATGTATCCTTGAACACTCTCAAGTAGGTGTTTGTGAGTTTGAATCGAACAGAAGAAGTTGGGTCATTTTGAATATTATGGAGGTAAAGTTTGATTGTTCTTAGGTTTTTTTTTAACATGGCATAAAAATGTTAGTCTGAGTATCACCCGTTATCCACGGAGCCCAGACTCCTGTCTAACGTCTGATATATCAAAGCATGCAGATTTATGCGATCTCGCGCCTCAGCCAATCGGAGTCCACTTTACTAAATCAGGACGTCATTTCATTCCCAAATCAGGACTAAACGTTTGGTTGGTCAATTCGAATGCAGTGTTTTGTAATGCAACAACAGCCGGGCACGTAATCGTGTAACATGATATACAGAGCGCGTGACGCAGGGCTTTTTTAATCCATTGTCTATAACGCGCAACGGGTGAATGACCGAAGACCCGATATAGAAAGCGCCCGCTGATTGGTCAAAATCTAGAGGTCAAGAGGCGGGCTGCTCACATATCATAGACCCATGGCATTTGCCATGGGTCTATTACATAGACTATAAAAATGTCTGATCACATCACACAACTTAATATATGACTTGAAGCTTTGCATGGCGGATAAGATAAAGTAGAAAGATTGCGGGTAACACCATGTGGAAAGTAATCTCTTCTTGGAAGAAGTGTGGTTCTGAAAAGAACCGGTTGGTTGAGTGAAGAACTCGACGTTTCGGACAGTGTGCTCTGTCCGTCCTCACCCTCCTGAGGACGGACAGAGCACACCGTCCGAAACGTCGGGTTCTTCAGTCAAACAACCGGTTCTTTTCAGAACCACACTTCTTCCAAGGTAGTTACAATGTATGTCAATTTGTTTCTCTATAGTGTCGTGAAAGTTATTGTTTTGTAAGTGTAGGATCAGTCATCAATCTCAACCAAAATTGATATGTGGTCCGTGGAGAGAAGGCCGATGTCAAAAAAATCCTTTCCAATATAGATATTTACGAGGTCTCTGGAGAGCTCCAGTAGTAATACTAATTATGACTTGAACATATGTCAGTAGTGGGTCTACTATTAATGACTCTACATGCTGTAGTGGTAAGGGGAACGCACCAAGATTGACATACATTAGGCCGCACGGAATCCGGTGTCTCACCCGAACTCCCCGTTCAACCCAAACTCCCCATTCAACTGAGAACTGGTACCTGCCGGGTGGACAATCAAGGCTGTCACTGATAATTGTCCTTACTAACTGCCTGTACGTGTATACAAACTGCCAGGATGCCAGGGGGATCGCGCAAGTTTTACGTGCAGTATTTTTGTCTTTATGTATGGCAGGTGCGTTGTCCATCATGCCTGCTGTCAAGGCCTTCTCTCTCTACGCTGCGGTGGCTGTCTGGATTGACTTCCTCCTTCAGATCACCTGCTTTGTGGCCCTGCTGTCTCTGGATGCTGCCCGAGAAGAGGTGGGTTTGCATTTGTCATTCTTAAAGAATCATTATCCCCCTGGCTTTCAAGGGGATATTGCGATTGCGTATTTCTTCTGTGTGTCCGTGTGTGTGTGTTTCAGTTCACTGTAAAGTTCAGTCATCAATCTCAACCAAACTTGAAAGGTGGTCTGTGGAGAGAAGGCCGACGTTAACAAATCCTTTCCAATATGGATATTTACGAGGTCTCTGGAGAGATACTAATGACTCTAACATATGTCAGTCCTGTGTCTCGCCCAAACTTTCCATTCAACCTAAACTCCCCATTCAACTGAGAACTGGTACCTGCCGGGTGGACAATCAAGGCCGTCACTGAAAATTCCTAACTGCTTGTACATGTACATTGTACATGCAAAACCAAAATCCACCTAAATCTCATCAACCCTAACCTTCCCAAATCCTCCAAAATCCTCCTTGCATAAATGGAGGATTTAGAAGGATTAAGGCTATATGGATATGGCAAAAAAATGTGTGGCTGATTTTGGAGGATGCACTGTGCCCAGAGTTTGTGTTTATGCCCAGCTGTGCATAAATTCAGGCCTAGATAATACTTGAAATCCTCCGCACTGCTCCAGGATGTCACTGGCTCTGCCTCAACATATTGACAGTGATTGCTGGAGTATTTTGCAGGATTGAGGCAGTGTTTCACCCGTCCAAGGACCACATTTTAGAAATAATTGAGGATCTTGCAGGATTGCGGCTGTAGGAAATTTTTACATGGAGGAAGTTGGAGGATTTTGCAGGATTGAGATAACATCTTAGCAAAAATTCCAGGGAGGAGGGTTAAATTTCGCACATCTTGAAAATAGAGATTATTTCATCTCTCCCACTTCCGCCCTCCCTTATGCAATTTACCAATTTTGGGGCAACAAATTCCTTTCAAAAGAGTACACAATCAGCTGATCTGATTCATGTAACCAACTCGTGATTGCATTGTTTATGTCACGTCATCGTATTTTCTCATAGAATAATCGCCTGGATATGTTGTGTTGTGCGAAACTGAAGAGCGCTGAAAAGTCGGACAAACGTCCCGGTGTGTTGTACCTGCTATTTGAGAAGTTCTACTCTCCATTGTTGATGCTCACACCTATCAGAGTCATTGTGGTAAGAAACATTGGTTCGAAGTCGGGGAATATTTCACAGCTGTATTGAGAGTGTGAAATTTACAAAATGCATTTTGCTGCATATTTGCACTTTCAATTTTGCTGGAGCTTGTGATGAATTGTCTTCATTATGTAAAACACTCCAAACCTATTGTTGGAGAAGACTCAACAACCTGCGCCCGATTTCACGAAGTGCTGCGACACGCCGCAACACGAGTTGCGACACGTAACATGAGCTTGCAATATGTCGTATGATCCATTTCACAAAACTCACGATGTCTTGAAAGTGTCGAAAGTTCCTTGACAATGGCTTAAAAATCACGTTGCAAGTTACGACCTGTGGTCGTCGCAAAATAAGTAGTGTCGTTTTTTAGCCAGTTTTATACCATGAAAATTACATAAGAGAGACTAATAATACCGAGACAATGTGTCCGATGTTGTGAATGGAATATGAAGTAGCTTGGAATAATGCAGTTGAAATTTCAAAGTAGCTATACAGTCCACCACGAGCTTGTTTTTTCTTTAAAACTACATCATACGTCGGCCATTTTGTTTTACATTTTAAAAGTTTTTGAGAGGAGATCCGACGACTCTTTGTTTAATATCAGACGACTATTTACTGTACGTTGAATAAATACATAAAACAGTCATCGTGTTGTGCTATAAATACACCTACGATGGTCGCACTTACGACATGTTTTGTGCAGCTGCGATGTGTTGTAGGGATACAACGCGTCGCAGCGCTGCAATGCATCGTAAGTTACATGAGTTTCATGAAATCGGGTGCTGGTGTTGTGAGATTGTGATAAAGTATCCTGCACAAGGACACTAACACTGAGTCTCGCAATCTGAATGATATCCATGTCAGTGACGCCACACAGGAATTCAGATCAGTCTTCCAAATGATATCACAGCAGCATTTAGCTTGAAATGATTTAATGATTGATTGTTTTCTTTGCAGGTTCTGTGGTTCGCCTTCATGGCTTGTGCTAGCGGCGTTTTGATGGGCCGTATCCAGATAGGTCTGGACCAGAAACTGTCAATGCCTCATGTAAGTTGGCAAGTCTCTTTTCTTACCCAACGTCTCAGGCTTTTAAATCCCCTTTTAAAGGGTTTGTTTCATGGAAGTCCAAGGCCTGATTAAGTGTTCTGTAGGCCCTAGGCACCAGTGTTCCTTAGGACCTACTCTGCCTGAGGCAATGGCACCAATTTCATGTTGATGCTAAGCTGTACTAAGTAAGCCATGCCAAACTGGTAATTCTGAAAGCTGATTGGCGCTGTGCTTCAAAACGACAAAATTTACACGTAAATTCTATGCGTACGTGTACATGCAGCTACGTCAGCGTCAGTTGGTGAAATCAAAAAGTCTGAGAGAGACGCTAAAACTTTACAAAAAAAATGTTCTTGTGTGTGCGTGGGTGTTGGTGCGGGTAGGCGGGTTGTCACTACGTTATGGGGAAGTTTTTTTTTATTGTTAGGCAAAATGGGACTAAGTTATGGGGACTTTCTGCTGTCCCCATAGGGTCTTCAGTCCCCATAGTACCAAGGGAAAAATTTGGGTGTAGTCCCCACAGTTATGGAACAAGTATACCTGTGTGCATGTTTATGGTGTGAATTGAGGACACGTACGTGCAACATCATCGATGAATCGAGGACAGAAACTGAATCGAGGACTCTTCCTTTGGAAAATGTGTGCAAAACCAATGAGAGCTGTTTTTAAAAAGTTCAAGTTCAAACAAAGGAAAAGGGAAGAGGAACAAAAGAAAATCCTCAATTTACACCATAAACAAACGTGTGCTTACATTTGTGTGTTTCATGGCACACTGCGGTATTTTTGTAGGCCCTCAGAGATTTTGTACACATTTTCCATAGGCCCTTGGCACAGCGCCTACTGTGCCTATTGGATAATCCGGGCCCGTGTCAACCATGATACTATTGCCTGGTTTTTCTACTTCAGGATTCCTACATGCTGTCGTATTTCGGAAACCTTTCCGAACATTTCAACAGCGGTCCCCCAGTCTACTTTGTGGTTCGGGACGGCTTCAATTACACCGATGCGGAGAGTCAAAATCAGATTTGTGGAGGGTCCGGGTGCAACCCAGACTCCTTGACTTCTCAGGTTTACTCCGATGCACAAATATCCAACACGTAAGTCATTTGTGACCTGTTCTGTCAAAAGCAGACGCTTCTGGGCAGAGGTTGAAATTAAGATAGGGCCAAAAAATGCTGTGAGGGTGATTTTTTTGGATTTTCTAATTCTTGCATATTTGTAATCCTGAACATGTCTAAAATATACTACAAAAGTTTGAAACCCTAATTTGAACTCTTAATATAGTATTTTTGATGATTTGTTGAGGTATATTAGTTAAAGAAATGTCTGTTTTGTGACGTTCGTGGCCATTTTCTACGTCTTCTACTTTTCGACACAATGAACTTCAAAATAGCATAACTTTGCCCTGGAATTACAGGTTTCAAAAATTAAACCACCAATTAAAAGGAAAATGTACATATTTTAACAATATGCAAAAGTCTCATTTTCGACCTTATGTTCAGAAAAGTCTGATTTTGACAGAACAGGTCACATTTTTAAGGATTCTTGGCAAATCTTTACTCAGTGGTCACAAAAGATATGACAGACACTTAACGGTAGGTTAGATCAGGGTTCGACTTTAGCGGTAGCCCGCTAGCCAAATGCTAGTCAAAACAGCGGCGGGCTAGTCAAACTATTCCTTAAGTAGCCCGGCTGGCGAGTCAAGAATTATTGGGCTACGGCAAAGATGAAAGGACAGGAAGAAATATATCATTAAATTCAGAAAGCAAACCTGTATCAATATTTGTGTCTAATTTTATTAACTGTTTAGGGTTAAATTATTAGATCAGGTTATTAAAAACACTGACAACATGTTTGCACAATGTTGTTTATGAAAAACTCTATAAAAGAAAACATGTGGGCTAGTGAAAATGCCCGCGGGCCAGTTAAAAGTCTGTTTCAGTAGCCTGGCGAACCCAGGTCGAACCCTGGGTTAGATCATTCGTCATTTGTGCAATTTGTTTCTTTGAAACAACAAATGTGCTCAGAAGCTAAAAACGGGTGCTAAACAACTAACCTGATGATGTTTTAGCTTTTAGTGAATGCTGTATATTCCGAGAAAACAATACTCTAGGATCTTAATTTCATGGACACAGAAAAAGTGTTTAAAACCATGCAGCCGGTGTTTTATCAACTGTTTTAAGACTGGCCACATGACGGCTCTCGACTAATAGGGATGGCTTTCTTAGGTATTCATGAATGTTGCTTCACAGTCTTGCGAGAGTCCACTGAGCACACCTCATTGTTGTCAATATCTCTTATAATTGTTGGTCTCTTTGGTGAATTGTCTTTGCAGTACCTACATCGCTGTCCCGGCGACATCTTGGATTGACGACTTCTTCTCCTGGATGGAGCCGTCCAAAGGCGGCTCCCCGTGCTGCATGTACAACCCCAAAAATGGCAAATTCTGCCCCTCAACAGGTGGGCTTGGCAAATGACTCTATCTAAGGCCAAAAAAAAAAGTCTCCGGTTTCTAGTCTGCGCGCGCGTCGCCGTGGCCATGCGCGTCGGCAAAATGAAAAAGTTTTTTTTTCAATGAAAGATGATGTCTCAAAACCGCCAAACTCACTGGTTTGACTGGAATCCTGCTTCTGCACAATTTTAACGTGTTTTTAGATGGGGTTATGATCGAGAATAAGATTTATGTGGCCTCTCTGGACTCCCATATATTTGCACTAAGTTTAGTCGGGCACCATTTGCAGTCATCAGCCGACATTTGAAGCAAAAAAGTCAGGTAAAAAAAAAAAAAAGCCCCGTCGTCGCACCACTTTTTGGGCAAGCTCCATACCAGAAACCGGAGACTTTTTTTTTTTGGCCTTAGCCAGCAGTTTTCTCCAAGACTTTCATTTGGGCAAAGAAAAGGTCCTCAGTATTTCACCAACCAAGTTTGAAGACTCAATTCAATATTTAAAGGAGACTTTTCTTCAATATTTGGCAGTGGTTTGCACATGAGAGGGAAGTCAAGTTATTTTTTCGAAATAAGGCTAAAGACTAGGCTTGTACATGTCCATCCATGGTCCAACTGTTTGACAAGACTGACTTCTTTATTTATTGTCATTAGTCTGGTGCCTGACTATGGAGAAATGTGTGAAAATAGTGACCTAGTATCCGACATTGAAGATGTTTATGTTGGCACAATCAGCTGACAGTTGATTGATGTAGTACTGAAGAGTTGTTGGACTGGTTGTTTCAAATGCCAGTCTATTTTCTTGTATTGCATGTTTTCAGTACCTTAACCCTAACTCCCTAGGCCTTTTTGCTAGGATGTAGCCTCAGTCCTGCAAAATCTTCCAATTGGCCTCATGGAAAAATAGCGTATAGCCTCAATCCTGCAAATTCCTCCATTATTTCTTAAATATGGTCCATGGAGGGGTGACCACTGCCTGAATCCTGCAAAATCCTGCGGCAGTGAATGTAAATATGTTGAGACTTGGCCAGTGACATCCTGGAGCAGTGCGGAGGATTTCAAGAATAATCCAGGCCTATATTTATGCACGGCTGAGCAAAAACAACACAAGGTCCGGCCCAAGACCTTGACAAAGTGCATCCTACGAAATCAGTACTGCACTTTTGCCATGTCATCTCAATCCTCCAAATTCCTCCACTTTTGGCAAAGAGGATTTTGAAGGATTCCGGGCGGTTAGGGTTAATTGGGCTTTCACATCCTAGATCTTGGACGTGCTTCATGCAGAACTTCTTTATAAAATAGGGGGCGCCATTTGGGTTTCCCGTTTTTTTTTTACTCCCCTTTTACTATCCAAAAAGAAATCCTTTTTCTGAGCTGGTGTGTTATCTTACTTCTGAGATAGCAGTTGTAATTATTTGTATCTTGACCTTTGACCTTAGGACCGAGAGAAGGGTGTGTGGCATGTCGTACCTCAAGCCATCAGTTTGAACGTCCTACTCCTGAGGAATTTGACAAGTTCCTTCCGTTTTTCTTGGTAGATGATCCTGGGTTTAAGTGTAGCAAAGGGTGAGTTGTACCGATTTACTGAATAAAAATCACCATTGTACTCAGAGGAAAAAGTATTAACGCTTACCTGGCCCCCTAGGCTGTTTTTTTTTTGCCAGGATGCAACCTCAATCCTGCAAAATCCTGCAACTTCCTCCATGTAGAAATTGCATACAGCCTCAATCCTGCAAAATCCTCCGTTATTTCTTGAATGTGGTCCTTGGAGGGGTGACCACTGCCTCAATCCTGCAAAATCCTTCAGCGATCACTGTCAACATGTTGATAGGCAGAGCCAACGACATCCTGGAGCAGTGTGGAGGATTTCAAGTATAATCTAGGCTTAAATTTATGCACGGGTGAGCATAAACACCAAAAGGCCTGGCCCAAGACCTTGACACAGTGCATTCTCCAAAATCAGCTGTACATTTTTGCCATATAGCCTCAATCCTGCAAAATCCTTCATTTATGCGAAGAGGAGTTTTGGTGTGTTCCAGTTCACCATAAGTTCAGTCATCAATCTCAACCAAACTTGAAAGGTGGTCTGTGGAGAGAAGGCCGACGTCAAAAAAAAATCCTTTCCAATATGGATATTTACGAGGTCTCTGGAGAGCTCAGCTCAGTATTACTTATGACTCTAACATGTGGGCCTTTCCACACTAAAGGGGTACAAAAGTGTGATATGGGATTGGGAAATGAAGCAGGATAATAATATCAAGTTCTTTGTCTATTTTCCACTTGTACATTCCACACCATTGTTGAGAATTGTGTTGTTAAAGAATTTAAGACTTTCCAGGCAAATTTGACAAGATATTTATGGTCACAGTGCTACGTACATGTACATAACATGGACAGAAACTTTGCCGGGGGAAGGCACCAGTTTTACTTGCATTATTTTTTTATTTTTCAGAGGTCATGCGGCATATGGGTCGGGAGTGAAGTTCACCAATAATAAAACCAAGGACCAAGTGCAAGGTATGGATGCATCATTATTGTGTTTGTGTTCTTGGGCAAGACAGTTTACCCCAATGTCTTCCCTCTTCACCAGTTGCTCCAAAATTAGGGCTAAGCCAAGTAAAAGATTGCTGACAATGTGTGCACAAGAACGTCTGTCAAATAGAACACACATAAATAATTTATAAATAATTAATTTCCTTGGCTGAAATTCGGACTTAATATCCCTTTTCTAAAACTCTTCCATTTGCGACAAATCAACCCACCTTGGAAATTCTTAGTTTTTGAGTAAATCCATATATCTATTTCGTGAAAACCTTGTGGAGACGTATTCATCTATAGAAATTGCCCGGTGGAGACGTATACAATCTTTTGTTCCCTATTGTGTGCATGTCTCCAGAGGGCACGGTGTATCAGATCACACAGTGTCTGTCTAATAACCACTGCAAAAAAGAAAGTCCGCACTCATTGGAGGGGTCATAATTTTGATTCTGATCGTCTTATGATAACGTCATTTATATAGACATGTGGAAAATGTTGCTAGCTACATGATAATACCGGAGTCTTATATAGCCCACGTATCTACCAACAATTAGGTACTCAAGGCGCTGGAAATTATGTCTACATTTAGATTCCCCGTTTGCTACCAAAGACTGTAAATCCTCCCAACATTGACAACGGTTTGTGAGAAATGATTCAATTTGGAAATTTGCAAATTTGAAGAGTACGCGAGTGGAAATTGCTACATGACAATTTTACACTGCCTGAGACGAACGGCAGGGAATACCGATCGCACAGTGCTTGCATGCATGGGAGCACACAAAACTGAATTACCCGCGCTTTGTTCTGGCATTGTGCAGTCGATAGGGGCCAATAAGGGTCATGTGTGTTTGCGCTTAGCAAATCTCATCGTGCAATCTCATCTTAGCATAAAAACCACAAAGGCAGCAAAATACCCTTGAAAACGGCAAAACGTATATTGAAAATAAGGTTAAATGGGACACAAAGGTGCATTTTCAATGTTTTGCATTAAACACACATGGGCCCTTTAAAATTAACTGGTTCTGCACCGCTGCGCTTTTCAAGACATAAAACTCGCAGAAAGTAAGAAGTTGTCATCCAACCTCTTTTTTTCGCCGACAGCATCCTATTTCCAGAGTTACCACACCGTTCTCAGAGATTCTGATGACTTCACTAATGCGCTGATCCAGGCTCGTCAGTCGGCTGCTAACGTCACGGCCATGATGAACATCTCGGAGGCTGTCAATCCTGACTTCGATGTCTATCCTTACAGGTACATTTCCATGGTTTACGTTTGGAATATGTTCTGATGACGGAGACAACAAATATGTAATTCATGAGTTAGCTTGTAGTCCCGGGTAAAAATAGTTCAGATTCATGAAGTGTGGGAATTCAGTTAACAGTTGTTGATGCTGTGATGTGGGATATGACGTTTTGAACACACGAGGGGCGAATAGCACCCGAGGCCGAAAGCCGAGGGTGCTATGCGCCTTAATGTCCTAATATCCCTTACATAAAATACTTCAATTAGCGACGGATCAACAAACCTTGGAAATTCCTAGTTTTTGAGTAAAATCCATATATCTATTTCGTGATAACCTTGTGGAGACTAATCACCTATAGAAATTGCTCTGTGGAGACGTATTCAATCTTTTGTTCCCTATTATTCACATGTCTCCACACGGCACCGTGTACCAGATCAGTGTACCTGATGCTGTTAATCATCTTTTGTTTTTGTAAACTGTTGTTATTGTTTTGTTTATATTTTCTTGTTTTCTAGTGTTTTCTATGTGTTTTATGAGCAATACGTCACCATGGCCCATGATTCTGCCGTCAGTCTCGCCATTGTGCTCGGCTCCATCTTCGTGATCACCTTCGTTCTCCTCGGTTTCGATTTCTTCTCTGCTTGCATCGTTGCCTTGACGATTGCTATGATAACCGTCGATATGGTTGGCTTCATGGTTCTGTGGAACATCGATCTGAATGCAATCTCCTTAGTCAATCTCATCATGGTAAGTTAATCAGATTTTCGTTGTATGTTCTAGTACAGGGTGAGTCCAAAACTGAAAACCCATATGGCGCCCTCTATTTTTAAAGAAGTTCTGCATGTAGTATTTTTTAGATTCAAAACGCTGTGTGCCACCAAGAGTTTGCCACAGAGAGTCCATTTTTCAAGTTTATGGTCGACAAAACATGGCCCATTTGAATGAGTGTCAGTAGACAACTTGAGCTAATTTGTCATAGATTGGGGCATAGCGTTCTGCCGCCTTACAACAACACCATACTGATAAAATGAAACTACTGACCGGAAAAACGAGCAGTTTCAAATGTCCCGCGCTACGAAATTAACGATCATCTCCCACAATGCACTGGGAAAAATTATCTCTCCGTGGCAAACTCTTGGTGGCGCACCGCATTGTGAATCGCCCGAATTGTGATGTGATCAAGCTAGATGAGTCGTTTGTCGACCTTGGTCAATTTTTTTTGGTACAGATTTGAAAAGAGCACAATCTCAGCATGACTGCTGTGAAAACCACATGCTGATACCATCTTTAGTTCAAAACTTATGGAAGTCAGAATACCAAGAGATGTGATGAAGTGATGTGATGAAGTGGCCCCATTTTGGCCTGAATCTCCAAATGAAAACTCCAGACAAACGACTCATTTAGCTTGATCGCATCACAATTAATTAGCTTTCTTTTAGTCAGAGAAGCATTCAAATCACTCGTGTACTTTTCCAGTCACAGATTTTTAAACACAAACAAGTTTTAAAGTTTTGTCCACGGATCACCTTTAGAGTACGTGATATTTCAGTAAAGTGAAACCATGTATCGTGAAAATGATATCAGAATACATGTATTCCCATTAGTCGTTTCTTGCAATATTCAATTACATCTTACCTTGAAGCATTTTGTTTTAACATTAGAAGCAGTTTGGTAATTAAAAAAGGTACACTATTGAGCCAGTTGTCATGGTTATGAGAGTGTTCTGATGTGTTGTCATGTGATTTGTTTTCGATGTGCTGAAATATCACTTACCTTATTGTGACCTGTGCCTTTTTGTTTGAACGTCCATAACTGAAAAATACATGAATGATTTGAATGATTCTTTTGCTATAAGAAAGCTTATTAATCGGGCTTTCACATTGTAGATCTAAAAAGTGCTACATGCACAACTTCTGTAAGAAATAGCTGCTTGGGTTTGGAACCAAATTCAGCATGATTAATTGAATCTCGGTCAAATTTATTTGTCCTTCATTTTCCAATTGTTCTTTTCATGTTCAGCCTTGTTTTTCTAATTTACGTTTCAATTTTAAAATGCATCTCTGCTCAAGGTTGAAACCCACTTGAGCACGATTGATTTTTATCGAGTTGATATATTTTTCTTCTTTTTCCATCTGTGTTTTGTCCACTTCAGCGTTTTTCATTAATTTTTTTAAATTTTTTTTGATAACAGTCTGTGGGTATCTCTGTGGAGTTCTGTTCTCATATCGTCCGTGCCTTCGCCATAAGCACCAGGGAGAATCGTGTTGAGAGAGCCAAGGACGCATTGACTCACATGGGAAGCTCGGTAAGTCAGCATTTCATCTTCTGTCCTTGATTTTAGCCTCTGTTGCCGTTAGCAACTTCTGACCTATTGACTTTGACTCCCTTATACACAGATGAAACGTCAACTTTTCCAACAAAATTTCCGATTTTTTTTTACAATTTGTCCCCGTAATACTAGATTTCTTAACAATTTTTCCACAATATGTGATTTTATTTAATTGTAATTTTGAGGAAAAGTCGATGAACAAGTCGATGAAAACGGCACTTAAAAATTATCGCGAGCATAGTTTAGATCTCTTTCACCAGTCGTAAATGGAGTATTTGTTAACTTTGACATGTGGTTAACCTTTGACCTGTGATATGCATGGAGAAATTACCGCATCACACAGTACTACAGTTTGTTGTTTTAGTTTTTCGATCTGTCTTGAATATTTCTTGTATATTTGTACTGTTGAGGTCATAATAATAAAAAGGATGTTTTTATTTTTAACGACTTAACCATTTGGCGTAATATATTCACCAATGTCTCCAGCTAAACCCCTCCTCGTAGTCTCATTCACGATTGTCTTTTGATCTCAATACCTCATATGACATTTGACCTTTGACATTTGACCCTACCAATCCTTGATCTCATTCTTGTCCTTGTCCTTAGTAGTACAATGCTCACCAAGAACTGTAGTAATTTTTGTTTGGGAACGTTGTCAAGTCTTTTGCACTGCAATATCATTGGATTGTGTTGACCTCACCTGACCTTTGACCTCACTGAACTCATGACCTTTGACCCTTGCAGGTTCTGAGTGGGATAACCTTCACCAAGATCTGTGGCATCTTCGTGCTGGCCTTCTCCAAGTCGCAGCTCTTTGAGATCTTCTACTTCCGCATGTACCTTGGCATCGTTATATTTGGAGCTAGCCACGGTCTGATCTTCCTTCCAGTCCTGCTCAGCTTTATGGGTAAGTATTAAGGTCATCTAAAGGTCAAACGAAGGTCACCAAAAGGTCGGACATAATGGCGGTGCAGTACCTTTTATTATATTTGGAGCTAGCCACGGTCTGATCTTCCTTCCAGTCCTGCTCAGCTTTGTGGGTAAGTATTAAGGTCATCTAGAGGTCAAACAAAGGTCACCAAAAGGTCGGACATAAGGGCAGTGCGGTACCTTCGTTCCCAGATGTACCGGTCCGATTTGTACTTTAAAGGGAATATACAACATTTGCTTTTGCTGTAGTTTTCAGAAATGGATGGATTTAGGGGGTTAGTATTTTGTAGCAAATATTGTGACACTGACTTGTTTGAAGTTTTGTTTTTGTAGATTCTGGAAAAACCAAGAAAAAAACAATCATGTTCCTGTAGTCTGGTTCCCTGATTTAAGGTCAGGGAACCAGTCTAGCTGGCTTGTACCCGTTCATATATAGGTGTGTTATCGATTGCTAATAACATGCTGGTAATTTGGGGGCAGTATTTGAAAAAAAGCCATTTTTGTTCAAACACTGGTCGGCCAACTAGCATTGGAAAATGATACCACTTTTCTTGAAAATGTCAGCACACCAGGTGCCATGATTGTACAGGATGTTTTAGACTGTCATTCACTAACAGTCCAGTTAGGTATTTCATAATAATTTGGTAGTTTTTTTTGTGTGGATGTTTGCAAATGTTGTATATTGCCTTTAAGCTGGGAATTACACTTGCATTTTGTAATTGGTGAAAATTAAAGTTCAAACTAACAATTAGCTTAGAACTTTTTGATGTAGAACTTTGTTGGTCGAACTGTTCCTTTTTCTGTGATTGACAGGCCCTGGGCTTAACAAAGCCAAGCTTCTAGAGGAGCAAGAGTGTGCTCCGATCCCCCCTCCTGCTGAACCGCATCACGGTCCCAAGTTTGAACAGTCGGGAGACCCAAAGCATCATCATCAAGTCAATCCTTCGCAGGAAGTGAAACAGCCTTCTAAGAGGCAAGCGGATCAAGCGCCACTGATACGTAGCGCTGATAGCCACGGGTATTACTATGCTTAGATGCAACCTCATTTAACCCTAATCTTCCCAAATTCTCCAAAATGCTCTCCAGAGACCTCGTAAATATCCATATTGGAAAGGCCTTTTTTGACGTCGGCCTTCTCGTCGGGTATTACTATGCTTAGATGCAACCTCAATTAACCCTAACCTTCCAAAATTCTCCAAAATGCTCTCCAGAGACCTCGTAAATATCTGTATTGGAAAGGCTTTTTTTGACGTCGGCCTTCTCTCCACAGACAATCGTTCAAGTTTGGTTGAGAATTGATGACTGAACTTACAGTGATTTGGAACACACCAAAAATCCTCTTCACATAAATGGAGGATTTTGCAGGATTGAGGCTATATTGCAAAAATGTGCGGCTGAATTTTTTGGATGCGCTGTGTCAAAGTCTTGGGCTGGACCTTGCGTTGTATATGCTCAGCCCTGCAAAATTTAGGCCTAGATTATACATGAAATCCTCCGTACTGCTCCAGGATGTCACTGGCTCTGCCTCAACATATTGACAGTGATTGCCAGAGGATTTTGCAGGATTGAGGCAGTGGTCTCCCCTCCAAGGACCACATTCAAGAAATGTGATTTTGGAGGATTGAGGCTGTATGCAATTTTTACATGGAGGCAGTTGGAGGGTTTTGCAGAATTGAGGTTGCATCCTAGCAAAAATGCCTAGGGAGTTAGGGTTCAGGTATATCATCTTGTAATGAGTCATGTGGATAAGTCTAGCAGATCGAGTGTGACGTGTGTATTTAAATTTAGAATTTTTATTCCCAACTGAATGGTCTCTTTCGGGAATAATACATGTAGTAGTCATATTTCTCATTTGAATGTGCGCAAATGTGTTTGTGTGGAAGCATGGCGTGTTGAACCATTGCTGTTATCCTGATATTCGGCTGACGTTTTAACTTTGACCTTTTTTCAGCATTTTTTATTTCTGCTGGTAATCTTGATTGTTCTGTACTTGTTGCCTTAAGTTTGAAAATCTATTGAAAATTGTCAGCAATTATTATTTACAAAGGTATGGGTAGAAGACTTTTTTTTTTCAATGTACATGTACCGATATGAAGTATTATTCCAAGCAAATTACCTTTAAAACTACTGCCAAAAAAAAAAAAAAATTCAGTGAGGAAAACATTCACATGATTCACTGTTCTTCCCAACATACAGGGTGATTAAAAATCAGATAGAGATGCGTGTGAATTGTTTGAATTTCTTTTTTGTGATCTGTGGACAGAACTTTAAAACGGTGGTTGTGTTAAAAATTCTGTAACTTGAAAAGTACATGAGTGATAGAATGATTCTTGTACTAAAAGAAAGCTTATGAATTGGGCTTTCATATCCTAGATTTTGAAAGTGCTACATGCAGAACTTCACTAAAACAATGGTCCCGACATTTGGGTTTCTTTTTTTCTACTCGCCCTGTACAGCATGACTTTCAACAATTAATTGTCGCATTTGACAGAACTAAGAAAATAATGAGCATAGAGCAATTGATTGGTAGTAATCCAATATTTTCTATGAAACAGGTTATTCTTTGCGATTAAGAGTGTATAGAAGTGGTCTTTGTTTAAAATGAATGAAGTTATGTATTATGATTTAAAGTGTTTTTAGAAAGAAATTATTTGTTGTTTTAATTAAATTGATGTTTGTAAAACTGAAATTTGATACAACTTTAGATCAGTAGAAACAGTTTAGAATATTTTTACTCTGTCATCGCACACATTTGGTTAAAATTACTTTGAATAAAGGCAATAGTGTATACCAAATGATACAGAGACGTTAGAAATCGCTACAAGTATGCTGTATAAATTTGTATTCTGTATAAATTTGTGTGTATAAGTAGAAATCACCCTTTTTTAACGATCGGTAGTTTTGTGCAAATTATCAAGGTTTTAAATGCAGAATGTTACTTGAAGATGATTTTTTTTTTAAATATCTTTTTTTTTTACACGGAATTACTTTAAGCTTTGATTTTATATGAAAGCAGCACTTTCAATGTGTAAGTATATATAATTTTAACTAACAACGAAATCATGTTTCGTCTGTGATAAGTAAGCGTTATGTTTATAGGTATTGCGCATTCTCTTTGAGTTTACTTTTATTAACAATAACCCTCCTATGCAAACATACATCTGTGCCAAGTAGTCCTTTCAGTCAAAATCAATTAAGTGACTGTTTTCAACAGTTAAGAATTCCCAGCTTACACAAAGCAGGATTGACTAGCTGGGACTGTTTAAGTAACTAGCTATGCTTTGACTCCGGGTGAGTGATAAAACAGCTGTGATCACAACTTGCCTGCTTTGTCTGGCCAAGTTCGCGCAAGGACTATTGTTGACCAATGGTTAACTAACGTTTGTCCGAACTCTGTCTAGTCGACGATGGTTGACTACGCTAGTCGACTATTTGGAACCAGCCTACTGGGGTTGGTTGCTTCGCTGGTAACCAATAGCCGCGCGGATTCATAACGCTAGCAGAGAGCCAGGATCCAGAAGTTTTGCAATGACATTTTGACCAGCGTTTGACTAGAGACGTTCGCACGTTGCTATCAGTGCGCAGGCGTAGGGTACATCACAAATCAACCACTAGTCGACTAATGGTCCTTGCCCGAACTTGGCCTCTGTTGACCCAGTTTGACTAGTCACAGTGCTTGCTTGACATGATGATCTGACTGCTGGTGACTAGCCTCTGTTAAAGTATAGCAGGGAAAGTGAATTTTGACTGTCTGTGACTGTTTAAATAGCAGGAGGGTTGATATGTTTCACTTGATGCAGCCAATGCAACCAACTGTCATTAATGCTACCTCAATGAATATTAGGAATTTGCAATGAGTAATAGTGGATGCACCTTTGCAATGGACCGATCCAGTAAGCCCCGCCCACTGCGCACGTGGGCAAATTACCACGTGCTCCTCTCCAATGCCACGCTGCATTTTCCTGCCGCGCGCATCATACGCGCGTGCACGCATGTCGGACTTCTGTGCACGCACGTCGGACATAAATCACGGCTGTGATTGGTCAGTACACCATGGGGCGATGCTTACTGGATCGGTCCATTGCGGCCAATGTTGGCAGTCATGGCTAGTACCCTTGACCACTAGGCATGTAAATTTTCTCGCATAATGAACTGGACTTTATATTATGCAAGACACAAGAATAAAGCACATGTACTGTCAACTCTTTAATACAAACTCGGCCCGACCAAGCTAAAAAGTTTGTTATATCGGAATTTTGTGTTAAAAGGAATGTACAACATTTGCCTTTTCTGTAATTTTCAGAAATGGATGGATTTTAGGGGTCAGTATTTTACAGAAAATATTGTTATACTGACTTGTTTGAAGTTTTGTGTTCGTAGATGCTAGAAAAAAAAATCATTTTTGTAGTCTGGTTCCCTGATCCAACTTAGGATGAAACGGAGCAATTTATAGACTTTGAGGAAATGTAAGGTCAGGGAACCCAATCTAGCTGGCGTGTACCCGTTCATAGGTGTGTAATCAATTGCAAACAAAATGCAGACTAACCAAATATGTTAAATTTGGGGCAGTATTTGAAAAAAAGCCAGTTTTTTCCAACGCTGGTTGGCCGACCAGCATAGGAAATTGATACAAAAATACCACTTTTCCAGAAAATGACAGCACACCAGGTGCCTTGATTTTATAGGATGCTTTAGACTGTCATTCACTAACAGTCCAGTGAGGTATTTCATAATAATTTGGTATTTTTTTATGTTAGTAAATGTTGTATATTCCCTTTAAGTTTAAGGGGAGAGTCGGTCCCATTCACTGTGCACATAAATGCACAGTTGGGACCGGCCAAGGCTTATTTGCTATATTAAAAACCAGAATTCGTATTATAGTGTTGGTATTAACGAGAGTCGACTGTACATGTAATATTATCCCTCAGTGGCAAATTATGGTTAGTTGTCCATATTCAGGACAATTTCAAGCTTTTATCTTGAATGATTCGCTTACTCACCTCGCATGAATTGAAAGACTGCCTACCGAGCATGCGCACAAAAGATGTTTTTCTGCCACACTGTAGATGTATTGATTTATTTACGCAGATACAGGTGCGTTAGACCTTTAAATTATTTTTAAAAAAATTGGTGTTTTTTTTGACATTTTAGAAGTACTGTATGAATCAGAATGTTTCGTGTATGTACTGAGCAATGATGTGTCGTTTTAAATAAATATGAACTGATTCAGATCAGCAGTCGAGAAGTTATAGCTTTTACCTTCGCCAAAGGGTTTATGTTTTAGGTGGATTTAGGTGGTTGGTTGGTTGGTTTGTTTAACAAGATAACTCAAACAGTTATGGACGGATTTGCATGAACTTTTTTTGAGGGGCGGTCTTTGGTAAATCGATAAGGTTTTGGAAGTGATCTGGGTCTGGATCCAGGATTTGTTTAACCCTAAAAGAGCCGGGTTATTTTGACCATCTCACAGCCGGGGGGGGGGGATCTTGGCCATCAAGTGACGAAAAACTATAAAACTCGGTACATGCATAGAACAACTTATCATGAACATGCCCAAGAAATGTCATGACTATTATTGGAATTATGGCTAATTAATCATTCATATGCACGAATGGTAATTCTGCTTCGTGTGTACACTACGTAATGGGGAAATTCAGTTTTCACGCTGCCTAGCGCCGGAAAATTGTTCGCTGCGCGGCAACCCGTGGCCCGAATTTCATGTTTTTGGTCTCGAAAGATGCGCAAGTCTCGAGGCTAAAAAGTCAGAACAGCTCGGGTTGCAAAACCTTTTTTTTTTCAAGGCTATCGCGGAAAAAGTTGAGAGGGGGGGGGGGGTGCGGATTCCGCCCCGGCCCTTTTAGGGTTAAGGATTCGGGGGGGAAAATGCAACCTGACGCCACTTCCGTGATTGTGTACAAAGTCTATGGCGAGTCAGGAAAAAAATCTTAGTAGTTCCTGACAAAATTGGAAATGTTTCTCAGTCCCGGATTCATGTCTTACTCATTTTTGCAATGAACGACCTTCATTGAGATGATATATTATGAAGAAAAAAGTGGCGCGAGGTTGCAACATTTTTTTCCCAAGGATTCTTCATCATTTATGCGAGTATTCTTGTGAGTAATGAGAATATGGCGGGGAATTTTTTTTAGCCTTGGGTGAGGTTTGCGCTCTGCGCTTTAGTTCTAGTTTATTCTGTGTGCCTTCGATTTTTTTTCTCCCCATGACGAATTTTCGATGCGCTTAATTAACCATCATAGTTCCAACAAAAAGGCTAAGTCCTGAACATTAATTGAAGAAGGTTTAGTGGCGATTGTGTCGAGGGTATGCCAAGGGTAGTTCGCGCCGGAAGCGATTTTTTCCCCCAAACGAGATCGGACAACATCAAAGAGGGCGCTCTCTCTGCGTTATGCATATTCATGATGTCCAGGGCTTTAGAAAATAAGTTATACTACAAGGAGTAATTTACATCACTGAAGATTGGCAGCTGATTCTTCGACTGGTCGGAAGTAGT